GTGTGTAAGGTAATAAAATACCAATATAAAATAAAAAAGAGAGAGCAGTTTTGTAATAGGCAATACAATAAAAACATAAACAAATGTATTAAAGCAATAATAAATATCAAGGTATGTGCATAAGGCACATCTACATTTGCGTATAAGGCGATCAAAAATATCAAACATCTATTGTGTGTAAGGCAATCAAAAATATAAAACATTAACATGTGTAATAAACCAATAAAAAACAAACAAAGAATAATATTTCTATGTAAAGCATCAAAAATAAACAAAGCATGGGAATGGCAACAAACATCATCAAACAAAAAAGCATAAATAGCAGTAAAAATTGACAAAAATATTCGTGAGTAAAGTAATATATTTAACTTAGAGCTAACAGGCAACACTATACGATAACTTATCATTGACAGGCTTTTTGTCTTCTTAAAATGTATTATATGTATAAGGAGTAAATCTTTTCTTAGTGTGATGTCAATGTCTATGGTCTTTTTAGCTATCGTTGGTTGTTTCTGGTTGTTCTTGAAAAATAATTTTCCGCAGAAAGTTTCCACTTTTGTAAAATGATATTCTCACAGTCGATTTCTTATAAAACAAATTTTAATTAAGTAATTTTAATAGGGTCACACAAAAATGTAGAGAATGCAAAGGATTCGCATGTGCAGTAGATTTGTAAACAAATCGCAACATGGAAGTCAAAAAAATATTTTCTTTAAAACTTGTCATCGATAAAGAGAAAAAAAAATATCATAGCTTATATTTATTTGCCGTAAAAAGTTATATTATTTTATTAAAATCAATAATCATGATAAAGTATATGATAAAGTCATTTTTTTATCTTATAATTTTTTTTTATAGTAACAGGTTCGATATTTGACTCTGTAACCCATTTGAATTTATGTCCGTACCTTACATTTACTTGAATAAGGGGTCCAATTTTCCTGTGGCATACACATCCGAATATACCCAACCAATGATGCTGGGAGTAATGTCTTTGAGCTTGCTTAAAAAGACTATGACTAAAATGACTTAGACACTTACTGCATAATTAAATTATACTTCGAACCAGAACCGTACTTGTTAATCTTAGTGAATTTAAGACAATAGGGACTTAAACTAAATTTTGAATTTCTTCTCACAATTCAATGATTGAAAAAGGTAGATATTATGGAATACCTCGCAAGAAAAGAATATGCCCGCATTGCAAACTAAAGTTGGAAGAAGATGAAATTCATTTTCTCTTACATTGTCCATGCCGTAGTCTATCAAGAATTAATGTACGCTGCACGATTTCACTGAAATTGCATCTTTTTAACAATATATGTCTTTAAGGTAGCTAACTGTGGTCAATCTCGTAAATCCTCTCTACGGTAAGAATCGTGAATAAGACAAAAACACGGACCTCTGGAAACACCAGAGGTTCTGGTGGGATCAGGTGCCTAGAAGGAGAAAGCATTTCCTATCGACCGGTCACACTTGTTCTGAGCCTTCTGTATTGATCAAGTAAACGGAGTAATTCCTCATTCAAAGTTTGTATAAATTCATTGGCCGAACAATTTATGGTATGCAACATAACAGCCAAATTAAGTATGACCCAAGGATACGTTGTATTTGAAGATAAGGTCATTATTTGCGAAATGCTGCCTTTAAACATGATTGTAGAGATTCCTGTAACATCATTTTTTGTGAATAGCCTGCCTCGGCTTAAAAATTAAATTGATCATATAACTAACCATTTTTTTATGGTTTATAAACTGTGAGGATAATAATGCAGACTATGTAATTGTTTTAAGTTACATGTAGTTAACAAAGACGTTAATGGTAACCTAACAACAAAACTTTATGACAAACGTGATGACTTTTCTATCGTCAACTTCCATTATTTATGTTGCAATACACCATTATCACCTGCATATGGAGTTTATGTCTCCCAGTTGATTCAATACGCAAGAACATGCTCTACGTACTCTTTCTATGCACACTTACGAACAATTTCTAAAACGAGGCAAGCTACTGAGAAAATAAGTTGATGAAAAAAGTATATCAACAATCTCATTTCAAATCAACATTTCGCAAATTCTATGGTCGATACAACAAACTTGTCAACAAATACAATCCATCATTAAGTCGAAGGGAGATTGGCGTTTTTTATACGAATTGTAAGGCCATTATTTTTACACTGAGTCTACGGATTTTTTTCGTTTGCCCTATCATGACAAAGAGCGCACGGCGGGTGTGACCAGTCGACAGGGGATGCTTACTCCTCTATTGAACCTGATCCCACCTCCCTGATGTTTTTAGAAGCCCATGTTTGCTCTGCTCCAAATTTGTATTGTTTTAATGGACTTTTGAGCTTGATTACTGTTTATTATTTTCATATTTTATAGAACAGTAATCATCACTTATGAATATGTTCAGTTGTTGAGCTTTGTGGTTGTTATATACTCTGAATTGGACAGGAGTGGATTATCTAACATATACCGAGTCTTGTTGCCAATTGCATTTTAATTTGATATGCACATGAAATCATAATGCAACAGTCTCGAAACTTTTCTCCAACATAATATGTATTTGTTTATTCTATTCAGGTAGCAGAGGTGCAATTTTGTTTATACCCTTAGCACCAACACTTGTTGCTTTTGTTGATGTATCAAAAACATTTATGTACGAGAGTATATATTGCATCTTGGTCTGTTTGAAAGAAAAGTGGATCTTTAATTCCAATTTATTATTATAGACTTTAGGATTACTCTACATTGTGTATTGTTTGTAGTCATATTATGTTGTATGTTATATATGCCCATTTGGGCCCCGATTTGGTAATGAGGTTTATTCTATCTTATTGTTCATATAATGCTAATTCCATATTCAATGTAATTCACTGTACAATAATTTTAGTTTATCGATTTATGTGAGTTATTTCAGGCAATTTACTAATATTGGTGGATAAAAATTTCAAGCATATAAACAATCAATATGCAAAAACCAAAACCTGGTTTGAACGATTTTAAAATTAATTATTCCACAGTTGTTGAATAAGTTAGTCTCCGTTAAAAAATCAGGCATTGCAAGAAAGACTTCCTGTGACAGAAATCTATACGTGAATTTAATTTCAGATTTTATTGAGCCAACAGACTTACGTCTCATAAGTAAATCAATACAGTTATCTTTTAAATCAACCACAGGACAAAATAACATCTTCTACGAGTTTGGGGAGAACATTCTATATTCCTTTTTAAAGTTTCAGACATGAGCACTTAATCTTAGTCGAGAAATAGGTGTTCTATAAGCAGTGTGTGTTACCTCACAAAGGTATGATTGTAAAGTGAAATTATCCACAAATGTTGATATAAAAAAACTTTTGGGAGAAGTTCACATTTTTAGAACTTAAAAAAAAATGTCACTAATTGACCCATGCAATATCTAAATAGAATGTCAAACTACATTAATAATATTATATACAAGTTTGAATTTTGATGAAATTCGTTTCTCCTGGCTTTAACCCATACATCATCATTCTCTTCCATATCCTGAAAATAAGATTTTAATATACAACCCTTGCTATTTTGTATTTTAATTAGTAATCAAATTTATTTATGTTTCCAATAAAACTGAAGTGTAAATCTTCTAAATTCACAGTATACCTATCGTTACAGTAACTGTGTGTAATGTGTAATTTTTACAATTCTAGAATTGTGCAAGACTTTTATCTACACTGTCTAACAATCAGTTCAATCAGACAGTCCAACCCAGAAACATCTATATGTTGTATTGGCTAAAATAGGTTATGCCTGCTGCCCAATCCCATTCACTTTTTGTGAAGAAAAAATGTATACATAAAATATGAATTATTGTCCCCTTTATGTCAACAACAAATATTAAAATTAATAAATTGTAAAGAGTCGTTAAACAAATATGAGTTGTACCCTAAAAAAATGCTCATTAGAAAACTATGACATGCTCTTCAAATAATAAATCTCTGACAAAAAAATTAGCATACTCATAAATAATAATAATAATAATAATATATATAAAACACAAAAGAGATCAATGTGATGATCAGACAAACACGAATATCAAGAAAGCTTTAGTGCTATAATTGAGGCAGAGGTTATCTTTTTTCGTAGAAGGTCTGTTTGACTGCCTCTTTGTTTTCTCTTTTTTCTACTATAATAGGATTGGAATTCTCATAATCATATGTGTTGTGCATTTTTCCCCAGTCTGCTAAGTGAATATCATGCTTAGAAATCAATTATTAGAATATCCAAAGCAGGGCTGTTGTGTAATTTCTTACATGTGTTTATATTTCCAGTGGTATTGGACCTACTTATCCATATCATATAAAAGTTGCCCTAACTTCAAACTTATTGTTGCAAAATAATATGATATTCTCTTATCATAAAGTACTTACAATGTACATGAATGCTGAAATATTTATCTAAGTTATTATACAATTATCATAATTAAGCAAGAAATACTTTGAAAAAGTAATTAAATTTAGCATATGGTCTTCGTCAAAAAGTTAATACAGTTATTACAAAAGCATAATGATCATTTAGTTTAATGCCAAGTGCATCGAAAATTAAAAATAAATACAAAACATTAATAAGATTCGTAACGGCTGTCTCCCACGCAAATGTTACACAAGAGTGATTCCTCAGAAATCAGATGCAGGAACCCACAGGTGGTCACTGACGTTGCACACTTCTGATTACCAAGGTAATGCTGAAGTCAGCTGTATACGACAATTTATTTAACCTTCCCATCAAGATGAAACCGCTTAACCATGACATGTGCGAAACCACGTAAAAAAAAGTAATTGGTGTAAATTTACCATTGACACAATTACTACCAGATTTTTATCACACGAGAATTTCATCCTTTGTTAATTCTACACCTTTCCTGTATTATTTTTTAAACTTCAAGAATTTGCTGTATTGTATTCATAAATATTGAATTCTGATTGGACAAAACAGTGATGGTTGTTCTTTACTTTTCAGGTGTTAGGAAAATCGTTCTTTCTTTGTTGGAGGTTGACACAGACTCATACGGTAAGTCATTCTATTATCACTGCATATTTAAGTATTTCAAATTCAAAGTTAAATATATACATTGAAATAAAAAAAAAATCAACGAAATAATTTTGTGAAACTTTAAATCAGTAGACAGCAACTGAATACTTGCATTGTCTTTTAAACTTCTTTTATTGTCTATGTTTTTTTATTTGCCATTTTATTGACATGTTTTGTAAAGAGTTTTGACACTCGTACATATATGTCACTATGACAACTATGAGAGCCTGACAGGAAACTTTCGTTCACTTCATGACAAATTGTTAAATGCATCAGCCAGACCGGATATGAACATCTGTGGCCATCCTCTTCCCCTGCCATTCAGTGTATAATTTTTTTTTAATCTGAAGAATATCAGAGTTGCATTTTACAAGATTTCCGGTTTCAAAGCCTTTCATTATATCAAATTCACGTTATGTTACAACACATAATTTACATCACATGTTTGTTTTCGTGTGTAATGACAGTATGGTTAATGAATTCTATCGGAAATAAATCAACATATGGAATGAGAGTAGTTTAAAAATCATTTGCATAATTTACAAATCTAAATTATCTAAATTATCTTGACGGATCAATTCCATTAACTGATTAAATAGACAACTATAATTTTTTTTATTTCTTTCGAGAAAATTTAACATACAATGTCTAATATAAATTCATTTATAAGGCAGACGGCCTCTCTATAATTATAGAGAATAATAACTCATTTCCCCAATGCTTGTGTTAAAAGTTTAAAAAAAAAAATCTCCTTTTATAATTAAAATAACATGAAATAATGATTCAAGGAGAAAGCTCATAAATACCTTTGCCACATCCTACATAAAACATTTAACCTATATATACTATAATATACTACAGCAAACTGGTATACACCAATGATAATAATAGTAAAAATCTAAATACATGTTTAAAATTAAATAGGTATATAATAATGATGACATTAACAAATGGAAATTATTTTTGACAAAGATTCAAACAACTCAGGAGTTAGCCTATCAAAAATGTGGTTAATTTGAGCTACAGCTGTTTTGAACATGTAAGTATTTTATTGCCAATTTAATAAAGCTAGGCTCGGAGACAATTCTTAAGCTTGGACAAACATTCATTTCTTTACAAAATCTTCTTCACATTGCACAACAGCAAATTTAACAATTGAGGAAAAATTGATGCATTTCAAAATACTTTATTTTAAATGAAGTCATCAACCATTTAGGCTGCATCAGAAACAACACCAATGTGTAAGCGATTTTCTTAATACAATGCTAATAAAAAATATTCTTAATCATTATAGGAAAATTAAAAAAAAAATATCTAGTAGATGACGGATAGTCGGATAGTATTTAGTAATCGGTAATATCCATCCTGCTTTCAAGCTACAGCTTGTATTATTAATTATGACCTCTTTTGTTTTCATTCGTTCGGAATCCCTCGTACTTTGACAATGTCATCTATGTGACTTGCCAACAGCTGTGTATTACATATTTACTTATCTGATAACGCCTTTGCTGTTCCTCTACTTTGCACTTTGCAACAGCATATTAATATCAAGAAATCAGTCCAGCACCTATTTTAAAAGCATTGATTTTTAACAGGACACGTGATAGTTCATTCCACGGTCCACTTCACACACCAATCTTCAACCATTGTTTGGAAAATGGTGTGTTGTTGAACAAAAGTATAGACATTAACTCTAATTAAAGTGACGATCAATTGCTACCAGGAAAAAATATAAGTATCTCATGGATATAAAATTCCACCTGTGACACAAAATATAATAAATATAAGGAGTACATGTAAATCATTTCTTCTCGATCTCATTTGAAATGTATGCATATTAATGTTAATAAGACAAAATATTCCTGCAGTTTAACACCATTGTATTTGTTGCTTTAAAAAGTGAGCACCAAAAAGAAAGACAGGGATAAATTATACACAATTTGGCAATAGATACATATCGAAATATTCGCTTTATTACAACCATTCTTCACCATGATAATTACATTAATTCTATCAGAAGTTAAATATGAATCACATAAGAAGTGTTCATTATTTGGGGTTTGTCTTGAGCCATTTTCCACCGATTTTTTAATTAAAAGCACAGGCTACTTTTCTCATCAGTAATTTGACTTCCAGATATATTAAACACATGCAGGAATCTGAGCATGATAAAGTCTTCGACATAATATATTTTATTTAAAGGTTTCCACAATAAAATTTCTGTTTTTTTCCCATTGATAAGTACAGAGCATCTTTCAAGAAAGAAGATTCTTAGCCAATATTAATATGGTGGTTTTGCAGATTTGACAATTTTTAAAAGCATATACATGGAGGGAAAAAATAGAAATATTTTAGTAAAAATAAATTATTATTTTAGCCAAAAATATTGTTATTAATTTTTTTAAAAAATATATATGCACACTTTTTATCACCAAAATATAAAGTAAATCTTATACTGTACCAATATTTTGATGTAATATAAAGTGATTTTTCCCGTTGTTTCAACAATAAAACAATTTTTATCGCACATTGTTATTTATTTTCTTTCTATAATACTCCTCTTCAATAAGTGGAGTTTTTTCTTTGCATTTCAATAAAACTATTTTCTGATAAAATAAATTCTGACATTTCAATATTTTAAATTTTCCTCCAAAGAAAATGATACTAGTTTTGTTGATTTAGATGTGAAAATTTTGTTTATTACCTGAATATTTACAAGACAAAGGTCATTATGATATTCTGAAATTAAATACCTGAGTTATCCAACATGGTTGATGCTCGGCAGATGGCAATTCTATAGAATTCCATAGAATAGCACTTCTTTGATAGAAAAAAAAATAAATTTACCATCTGTAATTGCATTTATGACATGAACAACAAAAAACACTTTAAAAATCCTCAGCGCGATTTTTCATTTTATGATTCGCCCCTTTTTTAGATAGGATCTTTTTCACCAATATTTTTTTATCTCTTTTGTCCAATGTAAAATAGTTACACTTTGGAAAACATCTATCTGTTTTAAGATATTATAGTATTATAACACAAGGTGGCACATCAGGGGAACAGGTGATCGTGTTACGCTCAATTTCTTATCCTCACGGCTACCACTACTTCTGGCTCCGGTAATTTAACAGGTAAATGTCATAGTTTTGTTGTTTTTCTTTTTATCAGTTTTGCATCCTTTAAACCATTAGAGTCCCGTTCGACTGTCATCTTTCTCTTCTTCTGTATCTGTCCTCTGTCGTTCGTCGTAAGTTTGCCAAAGTTAAATATAAATCTTAACTAACTTCGTGTAAAATATAGAAAGCAGGGTGGCTGTACATGTGCAGCTGATAATTTCCACGACAAAGTACATACAAGTCGGAATCGGGATGCAGATCGAATTAGGGAAGTTTACTGATTGATTTTTCGAAAATACCTAGGTCATGTAACTTCCACCAGATATGAATATTCAAATTTTCTCCTTATTTCCGGGAGAACAAATTTCATTCACGTAACACATCCTTGTAAACTCTTCCTCCTTTGAAAATTCGCCATGAATGGAAAAGCAAGACATTTTAGATGCTGTGTCGGCAATTCTTTGGCAAAATTGAATGTTATCTTCTGTCTGTTTGACATTGGTACGTAAAGGTCTCCGTGACCAGACGATAGTCTGCACTGTAAGTATCCGGTCGTCTGCCCGGGAAGTTGTCGTCAAGTGAAGTGTGTAAACCTCACAGCTAGGGCGTCCTCGGAGGCTTGTGGAACATGGAAAAACAGAACAGCCGGTCCTCAACGTGCAGCACTGTTAGTTATTGTTACTCCAGTTTTAGAAGCTTGGTTCAGGTACACAAATATCGATCCTGGAGGTGAATTTTATCCAGGAAAGGGAACGAATCTTGACACCAACCTCTCAGGATATGTTATCCCGGAATTTAAAGTAAACTTAGGCGCTCAATGCTTGTCCCGGTATGATGTCACAATCGTCTGGACTGTGTTAGAATGACCTCTAATGTGACCCCAGTCGATCAGCTAGTATCGGCGAGGCGTATGTCAAAGTCTATCGACTTTGGAAAGCAGCCAAAACAGTGTATGTGATCAGTAATAGATGTTTAAATATGACAATAATATTAAACACGACGATATTCTTGGAGTCTAATGCACGGGAAAAATTACATTAATGTGTGTTGTGCACAGACTACAAGGACGTAGTTATTTGTAAAGAATATTTTATTTACAAAAAAAATAATAAGAACAAAACATGTACATTTTCTGTACGCAAAGCAACACATAAAACATGAACATTGTGCGTTATCTGAAACAATATGGAGTATTACAAACTCCGCCATGAAATATACTGGATATGTTGCCTTATCGGACAACGAACACATCTCCATTCCTCAGTACAAATAAAACTTCGAAAGAACGAGGAATGCCATTGAGCCCAAAAAAGTGAGAGACTCTGTAAAACAGTCCTGCCTGTCATCAACCCAAAATATACAAGATACTAACATAAAAAAACAACAATGTAAGATTGTTTACCTATAGCCACCTTATCGACAATGTGATAATGTTTTCTCCATGCCAAGATAAATCTGTACAATATTTAACAATAAATTCTTAACTAAATAACTACTTTTTTTAAAACAACAATTTTTAAACAATTTTTTTTTTAGATATTTTTGGAAATATTTTTCCTACTCTACTTCATTAAACAAAACAATACACATTTTACATCATTTGATGATATGCAATATACAAAATTGAGATCAAGTTTTTCAAAAGCTATTCTCTTAGAGACAGTATTTGTCTTTTTTCAGGACTGAGATGAATTTGAGGGTCTAATACGGAATATTTCTCGTTGAAAGGAGAAACTGCTAAGGTAAGGCCACCTATATTCATTGGTTTAAATAAAAAAGACCAGGTGATATATACTGTTGGTGATTTCACCTGCCACTGAAGCAACAATTAAGAGCCTGAATAATCCGAATACTGTTTTACGTGTTCATGCAGATTTTTTTTTCACAACAGTATAAACTTGCTTCTATGATATCAATATGAAAATAATCTGCAGTTATCATTTTTTTTAGCGATGTTCATCATATGAAATGCTTCATTTATTATTTATGAAAATGATTAAAAAAAAATTACCCATCTTTGTAGTCTGTATGTATATATGAGATGAAAAGATTGACAGTTTATACACAATATGCAAACAATTAGCGAACACTAGTGTCAGTGTTTGGTAAATTCCCGGGGGTGAATCGATGACCCTGTTGCAGGGTGGGTCTCGGAATCTGACGAACACAGCTGACTGGACAGTACGGCTCGAATCATGTCCATTTCCGTCAGCAATCTCTTTATTTCTTCTTTGAGCTGGCGGTTCTTTTCCTCCAATTCGACGACAATCTTAATGAAAATGTAAAGAAATAGTTTTACCGGACATAAATATTAACGTTTACGAAAATACATTTTTTTTTCACTTCAAATGTTGCTCTCCTGATTTAGTGGTTTAAGAATTCATTTTGTAAAAATGTTTTAATGAGACTTTAGTATAAAAAAATTAAAAATGCTCATTATCTTTATTGTAAACTCGTGATATATGCATGTAATTGTATTGACACGATAAGTAATTTTCCCATTATATGCGTATTTAATATTACTGTTCTTCAGTAAACAATCTTTGTGCCTGATGAAAAAGGAGATCGTTATATACAAGCATTTCTTTTAATATTTTATGAATTACCAAAATAACTGTTCACGATTTGAAAAATAAATTTGTCTAATACAATGAGCAGATTTTTCAAAATGCATATCAATTCACAGATGATCTAAATAATGTAGAAAAATATCAATAACATCTCGGTCAATTTAATTGGGGTGAGCGAGTTTTGTTTGTTTTGTGGTCAGAGCACTCCTGTGTTTCTGTTAGAGGGTGATTCAGTACATCGGATGAGAGTTTGTTAGTCATCAAATTTTCCTCTCTTATAGTTTGTCTGTTGATCGTCTTCGTTAGCAAAGTTGAACGTATATTTTTATTTATATATTAAGGATATCCGTAGCAAATTTTGTTTAGTAAGCTGTGTTTTATTTTTGGGAACACCAGTTATTTTTTTTTTTTTTAGTGAGGAGTTACTATAATCTCTGTATGTAAGTATTTATTGTGTTGTTTTGATTTATTTGTTTGTTTTTTTCTCTCTCGACTGGATAATTTAACAAAAAATAAATAAATTGCATCATCCAAGGTTGTTTGTGGTTTAAAAATTTCACAAAATGTTATCTTTGATGTTTATAATATATAAATACTTGAAGAAATGTTACAGTTATTTTTTTTCTATTGACAAGGAAGTTTCTGATGTTTTTTAAATACCTTGTTACTAGCATTATTAAAAGTGCACCCTTTTTGTCATTGAAATAAATCATTTTAACCTTCTTTAATTCTCCCGATGCTTGTCGCCTTTTTTGACGGAACTTCTTGGCGGCCCTGCGATTCTGTTCTTTTCTTCTTTCCAATCTCTCTATCTCAAATGGCAGTAACTGTAGAAAGAATGACCTCTTTGTTAGCATTTAGACCAAACCAGAGATAATTCTCAGTTTGCGATTTTATATTCTATTTTGTTAATAAAATTTTATTTTTTTAATATTAAAAAAAAGGAAATTATTTAAAGACATTTAGTTTCTAGGAGAAGTAAAGTAGATATATTTATTCTTCATTTTTATTTATTAAATAATTTTATATTCAATTTAGAGACATCTAATCCATAAATCAGATTCTGAAACGTTCATGGAAATTCCTTAATCTTTAACTTTTAACAAAAATGTAATAATGTCATAGTTTATGTCGGTTTATATAGTTAAAATAAATTATTATGAAATAATTAAAAAGTGCGAAAGTTTATAATATTGATCTATATCCTTTCTTATTTTCTTATTTAAAAAAAATAAATCAATGATTCACATGATTGAAAAATATTAAATTCGCATTCACTTTAAAGTGGAATATAAATTCTGAAATTTTCTGAATTTATTATTTTAAATAAAAATTATTTTAAAACTTATAGAAGGATTACATACTCTACCTAAATTTCTTAAAAGAAGATATATTTTCAAATGAAAATAACAAGATATTGTGTAATTATTATCAGCATAATTTTACTAAATAAGTGCATTCTAATATTATACACTTTTTTAATTATTCAAAACTCCTGTCTTTTCTCTAAAATATTTATACAAAATGAATTTACTCCGAAAAATAATTTTTTTAACGATAATCATCAAAATGATCTTCAAAGAAACTTACATTAGAAGTGTTAATAATCTTACGGTTTAATCTAAGTTTTCTGTCTGAGCATATGTTTGATAAATTAACTGCGCAATTTAACAAACACTTGTCCGTGAAAGTCTACCCGCGTGATTGAAAGAGGGAAATGTTAAAGAACTGAAACCGCCATGTGGGGATGAAACATAAATTTGGAAAAGTAAAATAAACTTTATAATTATCATTTTTAGAAAACCAAACCTGAGATTTGTGTATATTTTCATATCAATTTAAATATTTATACTAATAAGGAAATGCAAAACTGAGATAAATAGGTTTCATAATTAAAACAAGAAATGCTTACCGGGGCTTTACTTTGAACCAATTTTGGTTCATCGTCCAAAGTTAAATCTTTTCCCTCATCAAAACACTTCTTTTGAATTCTACATTTAAGCTCCGTTTTCAGAAGTGGCGTGAGCTTTCCTGTCTGGAGAGCTTCCATCGTTGCAGTCAGTAATTCCTCGTCAAGCCCGCCGTCTTCCAAACTCCCGCAGTCCGAAATATCATCCAAATCCATCATGTCAGACTGTCAATGCTTGGAAAAAACAAGACCTCTGTCTGTTGAATTTGAAAAATAATAATAATACCAAGTTCCCGCGAAGTCTCGCAGGGGATGACGTAAATATTTTCTCCAGATGCAAAAATGCTGTGACGGTCAGATACAAGAAGAGAAGGATCTAAAAATAATATTGTGTGTCATCCCACTGTAGTCACCCCCGACCTCTGATGCGCTGCAAAAAAAATGGCGAAAACTTAAACGATTCAATAGCTATTTTTCTTGAAAAATAATTTTAAAATATGTATTTGAAAACAAAGAAAACTTTTGTATATATGAAAATAACGCCTTTTTAAAACCAATTTTGTGAGTACCATTCCTTTTAGTGGTAATTGTTACATAATAATTATCAATACTTTTCCTTATGTTTGGTTAACTCACCAGGTGATTTTTAATGACCGCACTTAGCAATTATCCGATATTTGTGTCATTTAAACATGTGTATTGTCAGTCAGGTTTCAGCACGTTTAGTGTTTATGTTTTATTTATAACTCTAACGTAGTTTCAAGGGGCGTAACTCGTGTCATGTATCTCTATAGCTATAGGTTGAACAACTGAGGGGTCGCTTGTCTGTCTTAGAGCCGGACGCAGCGCTTATTGAGTGCTTGCGCAGACAAGCGTTCTGGTAACTTGTAAACAGAATCGGGTGCTACTTAATATATTTAATTTCTTGCTGAGAACGAGACGGAAATCAATCAATACTAGAGTCGTTTTCATGAACTGACGTATGTGTTACATCGTCAGTCAGGCGGGAACTTTTAGCGCGGAAATTCCCAGAAAACTCCAGCCTCTGCATCTACCCTACTAGTAAAGTCTAATTGATAAATGTGACTAATTATTAAAGTATGGACAATTTGAGAAGCTAGGAATTTCCGTCGCACTGACTAACTGCAGGTTTAGTTAGATGGCTGTGTCATAAACAGGGCGTGGTATCTACTGTATATAGCTAGCGCGGGCATCTGTTACAAACGATTAATCATTTAAATGTAAATACAATCAGCTCTCACTCATTGTTGCATTAATGCATGTTTCTTTTTTTTTTTTTTTTTTAAATTATAGTTAAAATCTAAGTGGACATAAATCTAAAAGTTCCTTTACATCTAAATATCGATTTTTACATTGTGTTTGGAAATGAATCAAATATTCATTAATAAAACATATTACTAAACATTGCCTTAGTAAATGTATTAAATAAAATTCGGTAAACATCAAATGAAAGGAAATCATTTTTAAAAATGGATTAAGGAAAGTTGGGTATGTTTGCCCGTCTTATTTTATGCGCACCACATTAGACATCAATAAGATACCTTCAATTTCCCTCAGGAATAGAAGTGTTAGTTAATTATTTTATTTAAAATTGCTTTTTAAATTTATTTACTTTCCATGTAATTTGCATATTTTAAGATATAATATTAACTGATATTTTGGATGTGTATGCATACATACATGTAGATAGATATTATAGCGAGAATCTCCCACCTTTTTGCACAGATAAATCAGTTCGCACTAATTTTTCTGGAGGCAGACCCGTTAATTTTTTCGGCATATAAATGCAGTGTAAGTAAGTAAGTATTTGGTAATCTAAGTGTCACATGCCAAATATTACAAATAGTAACATAAAATAACATAAATTATGCTGCATGTGAAAGTTTGTTTTTTTTTAAATTTACAATGAGAACACAAAATGCAAACAGTCACATCTGTTAGAACTAGTTGAATTCCCATACAAAAGCTTTAGAGGGTAAAGAATTTAGTGCCTTAACCAGTCACATCTGGTGTAAATCATGCAACTTCTCGATAATTATAAGAATATGAAAGAATGCGTCATAACTATTATATTTGTATGAAAATGACTTATAATATCTGTTAATGAAAAGATTATGTTTCAGATTATTAGTAACTATGCACGTTTTAAATATACCAACAAGTACTACAATAACATACTAAATAATAATAATAATAATAATAAATTTATAATAATAAATTAATAATAATGACAATACAATATATTAAAACAAATAAAATATATTACTTTTTCAGAGTGTTTTATTTACAAAATATAAGACTCAGTTATAATCAGCAGAATATTTAAAAGGCGTGTATCCAGGTACCTTATTGACTAACTATTATTGACACTTTTATCCAATTAAATAATTTGTTTTACACCATTCATATGTTGTTATTAAAAATCTCTGTGTTTTTTTTTTTTTTAATAAAATGAGTATAACTATTCTGCTGAACATTTCATTGTCCTAAAAAAGAATGCATCTCTTAATAAAATTTATGTTCAAATTAAAAAAAAACTTTCTTTTTTAATTTGACATCAGTTGTAAGAATTAATAAATTTTATCTAAAGCTTCAAAGGCATCTATGTGCGTTGAAGCTTTATACGCAATCCTACATCCCCTTTTCCCTCCCTTTTCTTTGCACCCCTTTCCTTTCATTCCCATTTCCTTGCACTTTAAAATTTAGTATTGTAGATTTCTTGGTTTGTACATCACGTGCATTTATAGTTCATTTTCTTTGTATTGGAAAGGACAATTTAAGTTTGTACAATTTGTATTCAATCCTATTGAATACGATCGACTAAAAATGCTTAAATAAAAAAGAAAAACTGTATACAATAGAAAAGTCAAACTCTTGAGACTTTAATGAAAAGCACATTTCATTTAGAAGTAAAATTCATCTAACTCTGTCTCTATCACAATTTGATCAAATTTACAGGTCAATAAACTGTTAGTCTCTCTTTAATTTTTAAAGAAAGAACACATTGACACTTTGTAAGGATGCTTACATAGCATTGTTTTTAAAATTTTGACCACGGATTACTCCGTTACCTAGGCCTGATCAATCGAAAGGCTAACGGTGGTTGTGACCAGTCGACAGGGGATGTTTATTCCCCGTTGGCACCTAATCCCACCTCTGGTGTTGCTAGGGGAACGTGTTTTTTTGCCCTGTTGACAATTTCTATTTTTTAAAAAGGTTTAATGAGATCGATCACAGTTCGTTATATTCATGTTTTTCATTTATCATCAAAGCACATTTGATTACACCATAATTTAGGATTTCTAAATTAAAAAGAGTTCTCAATATTGTGTGTTGTGAATGTTGATTTGAATTACATATGAAAAAGAAAGTTAAAAAGTATCATTTTTTCAAATGACTCTACATATAATTAAAAAAAAACATCGCTTTTGCTAAACATTTCATTGAAATTTTAAATAAAACAGCAAATGAATATTCAAAATACCCCATAACACAGTATGCAATATTTACTGGAACAAAAAAATCTTTGCATAAATTTGTAAATTTGTTAAATCAATAGATATGTGTAGCTGTTGGAAATTAGAGTTTTTACTTATGTGTCTGATAAAATTCCGGTATAATACACTGACCTTTACACTCCACTTATAGAATTTTCTGTTAATTTTATTTGACACCAATAAAAGAAGACTTTTGCATTCATTCTTAATTGAACTTTATGAAAAATTTGATACATGTATTTTATTGATTTTACAAGTTCTACACAAAAACTCCCATTTATTAATAATAAATAATCAATAGAATTCCCTAGATTAGAACATTTTTATTTCGACGGTGCAAAAATACTAGTATCATGGGTTGGCATTCGGTCCGTATTCTTAAAACTTGCACCGTCATAAATATCTTAAAAAGAGTTTCTGGTTGACAATATATATGTAGTTTTGTAGTTTTTGGAGATCAAGTCTTCCAACAATCTGTCGAAATTTCCGTGAATACTTTTTGCGCCCCGTTATTAACAAACCTATTTTTGTATTCATATGAAGCAGAATTTATTCAAAATCTTCTACACGAAAAGAAGATGTCTCTTGCTGTAGCTTTCAATTCAACAATTACATATATATTGACGACGTTTTATCAATTTATAATATTCATTTTCATCCCTACGTTGATTCGATATATCACTTTGAACTCAAAATAAAAGATACCACCGAGTATGAATATTTGGATATTTTCTAGAAAAAGATGATAATGGTACTTTAAGATAAACGTGATGACTTTTTTTTTTATTGTCAACTTCCCTTATTTATGTAGCACAAACCATTATTATCTGCATATAGAGTTTGTCTCCCAGTTGATTCGATACGCAAGAGCATGCTCTACGTACGAACAATTTCTAAAACGAGGCAAACTATTGAGAAATAAGTTGATGAAACAAGAATATACACAGTGTATTTTAAAGTCAACATTTCTTGAATTCTGTGGTCGATACAATGACCTTATCAGCAAATACACTCTATCAGTAAGTCGAATACTGACTGACGTTTTTCATACAAATTATTAGGCCATTATTTTTACACCGAATTGTCTGTGGATTTTTCCGTTTGCCCGATCATGACCAGGAGCACACGGCGGATGTGACTGGTCGACAGGGGATGTTTACTCCTCCACGGCACCTGATCCCACCTCTGATGTTTCTAGAGGTCCGTGTTTGTTCTGCTCCAAATTTGTATTGTTTCAATGAACTTGTGAGCTTAATTACTGTTCGTTATCTTCATATTTCATACAAAGCTCTTAAATTTAAGCAATCCCCCCCCCCTTCGACTTAAAAAAGAGATATAGTTCCCTCAATGCCTCACAACACTGCCTTGTAATTACAAAACCATATCCAGATTGTTTATAATAGAATATATACAGAAAGATCTTATAAATAAAACTGTTAATTACATAAATGTGCTCAGGATCTTTTTTCTTGAAAAGGTGTATCTGAATTTGTGCACGTTATCAATTTGTATGCACAACTATTTGTTTCTTTGTATCAAGTTTACGTAAGAGAAAAAAATTCCATGCAATGCATGCATGAAAACAAATAATAATGTGTTTGTTAAGCTCATCACAAAACAGTACTGTATATGCTAATGCAACAGATATATTAAAACTTGAACATAATATTTTACCAAGCCTTAGAGATTTTTGGGTAATAATATGTGATGTGATTTTATCAAGGTTAAGGTGGTCGATATGTAAAATATGTAACACCTGAGTGGAATTCAAATTTAGTATAGTTTGACCATGACTTAGAGATATATAACGATTCTCTTTGAAGATAAGATCTCTTGGCGATGACCGAGGTTTGGGAAGTAAGGAAGAGATCTAGAGATCGACTAGTACTTTTGTTTGTGTTGAGATAACATGTACATTTATTTCACATTGATTTTGGTTCAGATTTTCCTAAAGAAAAAGTTTATAATTGTATAAAGAGTATATATTTTGATAAGTTATTGACTTATTGTACTGTGACACACATGAAAGAGTACGTAAAAATTAAAATTACAGTGTGTGTGTGCATGAGTTTGTAAATTGTCAACAGATTATATAAGAGATCAACTATGCATTTCTGTATTATAAGAAACTATACATTTCTGTATTATAAGAAACTATACATATCTGTATTATAAGAGCATTTTTGCATTTCTGTTGTCCTTACAAATGGAAATAATGGCAGAACTTAAACTAAAATGAAAGTTATCAAAACAATTCCGAAAATGATCAGCGAAAATTAGAAAATATTAAAATAGCCATCGGCGAAATCAAAATGTTTTAGTTCTAATTTTTATTTGTTTACTGACACAGGCGCATTAAGCAACAAAGAAAATGATTTAATTATATCATATAAAGTTTTAAAGCTAAAAATTGATTAGTCATTATGACTGTTAAACTTCCCATTTTTAATCATAATTTATTATTTTATTTTATTAATGAACCATTAAATGAATGTCAGATGTTAGCGGGTTGTCTTGAAGAAAAATAACTTCTAGTAACGAATGCTTTTGGTCATTAATTCAAAATCTGAAATGACCTATGGTTTAACACAATCAACTAATCTATTCTGATAAAAACACAAGGAAGTTTTTTAAATAGGGAGAGGTTATTTAAATATGTAGTTCTTTGACACAGTTTTTCGGTAAAAAGGGTTAAAGAAATATTAAAATGAATTTTGATTTAACCACATCGGGCTCTACCTATTGCCTTAAATTTACATGCATATCAATAAAAATCTTGAAACATAAATTATGATAATTTGAAAACCTTCTAGTTGTCAAATCTAGTCCAGAAAAAAAATCTCCAAAAAGATTCAGATTCAAAGACATGTCAAAGGATTCTTACCGAGGTATAGAATAAAAATGGCCTTATGCATTATATAAAATGAAAAAATAGAAATCCATTCTTCAACAATGTATAGCTATGCACATAAAATTGGTCATTATTGTTGATCGTTCATCTTTATTAAACCATTTATAATAAATAAAGCAAAGATCTTGTCTGAAAGAGAGAAAAATGTATTAAATGAATAACTATCTTAAAAATTAAATGATCTTAATTCACTAACCCCTGTGTATCATTGTATTTCAACCTCATCAATATGTACAAATGTGCCGTCTTGAATGTTTCGTTATATTAAATATATAAAAAGCTGTAAAATTGATCATTGTTGGCATTTATGATACTCAGTATTACTTGCGTTACAAATTAGAATGAAAAGTATTTTCGGAAAATCGACACTGAAATTAATTTGATTTTTCAGCACGTGTATTAAAAGTGGAATTGAGGGTTATACGACTTAATCAATCTTTCAATCTTTCTTCTAAATTGGAATCTCTAAATTCTGGACCAGACATTAACCTCAGAATATTCCTGTATTAGAACCATAATAAACAAATGTACACTAAAAATGTTATTTATCATTTTTTTTAAAAATATTCTTATGTCATGAATATTCATTTTATATGAATTATATCATTATATGTCATGAATATTTATTTTATTTGAATTATATCATTAGCCATCGTCATATCAGGGTACACCATGCTATTTTACGATATTTCACGATTTTTCATGGATGACGATTTGATTTGTTTTGTTTGATTTATGTTAGTGTTAATGTTAGTTTCTGTTTCATTTCTCTTGAACACCTCTTAGTTTAATAATATTCACACTATTATTTTACAGATCTTACTCATTTTATTTCTGTCCACATTACACTCAGTGGGATGTTGACCAGAATAAGGTTTATTTGTAAGGTTACTTAGCGGTCATTAGATTGACCCTCAGATGATAGTACAGGAAGTGAGCTTGTCAATACTAACAAATGTTATCTAAAGGATTTGAATAGGGACAGTGTGGAAATGTTTATTTAAAACGACAAGCATTAAAAAAGTTTCCCTTCATATCAACGATTATTTTTCCTTTTTGCTTTATAATATTTATTTTCCTTTACTTAGTTATACCTTAATCATAGGTAAACAAATATAGAAATCATGTACACGATGTCGAAAACAACAATATCAACAAGAACAACAACAACAAAAAGAGAGAAAAAAACGAACAAACACAAAACTCACTTGACATTTTTATTGATACACTTGAAGTCTATACAAGAACAAATGAACTTAACTTGTTTAAGTGCTTTATTTGAGGAAAAGTAAAAATATCAAAAAAATATTTTAAGAATATTAAACAAACGTTTCACATCTACAAATACACACTACAAAGATATTATAGCCACCTGATTGTTCGAAGTTTGTGGAGGAAATAAAGACATATTCCAGATTATATGCGCTAGGTGGTTAACAAAATGTCAATATATTTTGAGTATTATTCAATAAAAAATGGTCTTTTTTGTTTTTGTTTTGTTTTTGTTTGTTTATTTGCTTTTTAATATAAAATTCAGCTAAACTAATGACAGCATGAACTAAAAGCTCCTCCTTAATTAGCGACTGTTTTAACAAACCCTGTATTTGTTCACTCACCTTGATAACATTCATTGTTTATAACATAATAGGAATCACAATTTATTTTGAATATACTTAAATGTTTGTATCTGTTAAGAGAGCTGATATGTATTTAGTTTTACACATATATAATTTTAACCTTTTATGGAGTATTTCATTTAGAAAAATGTTATTTCTGCAATACACGCTTAATTTACTTTAAAATTGACCTCATGTATATAACTGGTTCAGCTGTTACTAATAAAATCTGGTTTTCAAAGGGTTTGCACATTGTCTTTAGTAAAAGATGGACAAAAACAATGTATTACAGTAGACGTACTTTTTTTCTGCGTGGGATTAAATTACGCTATGTACACCGTTAAGGGTTTTCGGTTTAAATTTGTCAAAGCATACATAAACTGCATTTGAGACATACAATAGCAGTACATACTACTTCGTACATCTCAAAAAAAAAAAAAAAAATTAAAACGTGCAAACTATACCATATTTATTAAGAGAAAAATGTCTTTCATTTCATTTAATTATGATATCCTTTCATAAACTTTAACTTGTTATCCTAATAATCATGTCTAATGAAATAATCTGTTAAAAAACAAAGTACAATTGCTTAGATAACCATATCTAAGCTGCATTTTGGCGATTAATACATTTACAGTAATATTACATTGCCCTATATGTCTGATATATAATTTTGATATCCATACTGCCAATAATGTTTTACGCTAACTTTGGATATTACAATACTGTATATTTCTATAACGCTTTCACAAAAATATCACAATAATCTCCTATCTTTTTATGTTTGCCACATATCGCTTACATTGACAACTAAATGTTTGGAAAATTCGACTTGAATACAACGAAATTATACAATTGAGGAATATTTATTCTGAAAAAAAGATTTATAAATAATTGTAATTGTTGGTTACTTGTTTGCTCAGGCATGTTTACTTTTTATTAGTGAAGACTTTGTGCAAACCTGATGAAAACCAGCACGGTCCGTATAAAACATGTGCATTTGATCCTACATAATGATAAATTATATTTTCCTGTCTTCATATTCTATAGTCGGAAAAACGTGAAAATAGAACAAGTATACTAGTGCAAAGACTTCATATATTTTTTAAGCATTTCTTCATATTAACAATTTTAATTTCAGTGTTTTATTTTTTTTATTTCAGTGTTTGTACGGAGAAAGGCGCTGGTGATGAAAAAAATAGTATCAACTATAATATCCATTTTTTTCCTACATTGCAAAGAAATTGTGAGATATCAAATCATAAATTTGTCATAGTTTTGTTAATGGAGAAGCGGGCCTGGTACATGAGAGAGAGAGGGAGAGAGAGAGAGAGAGAGAGAGTTTTTAAATTTTTTAAATTTATTGTAGAACGGCAGCAGCGACAAAAATAGATATCACAAGGTCAGGCATATGTAAAATTGGTTTTAATTACTCAAAATCAAATATATTTTTGATGGATTTTCCTCATCCTTTCCATATAAATATGTTTTCTTTGCTTTATAAATTTTTGTCTTTAAATACGAACGAACGATGTCACATGCCTTTTTTTATTTGGTTCATTTTGGTCAGGAGTTTACCAATGACACGTGAGCCAAGCGTTTCCGCAATACACTGAGTACAAGGAAAATATTACAACATGTGAGTGAAGTTCAAAGTACATTTAAAGTCTTAAGTAAATAAAGTTTAACACCAATTATTATTTGTTTTTTCTCAATTTGACTGATATATGAAGAAGAATATTTCTTTTTCTATTTAGATACTTTAAGGTATGTTCAGGGCATCCCAAAAATTAGAAAGGAAAAAAAAAACTTTTATACATATATATATATATATATATATATATATATATATATATATATATATATATATATATATATATATATATATATATATATATATATATATATATATATATATATATATATATATTACATATATATATTATATTGTTCAGCAGTGAAATACTGTGATTTATTTATTGAATAAAAGTGATATTCTCTCACAGTGTGAAAGGATACCAAAATGATATTCTCTCACAGTGTGAAAGGATATCAAAGTAAATAAAAAATAATTTCTGGCCTGTAATAAGATAGAAATAGTAACTAAACCATCTTGATAGAGCTAAAACTGCTAATTTCTTCCCAAATATGTTGCTAAAATACATGTTACAATGTTTTCAATGCTATGACGTCTCAACTGCTCAACTATGACGTCACAGCCCATGACACTGTGTTAAGAAAAGACAGAGGCAAAGGGAAAATCGAAGAAATTGTAATAAATAGAAAATTCAATGTCTTGTAGTTGAATATGGAATTTACTTCATTCGTGAGACAGGATTTTATTTATATTTTCACTCGTGCTTCGCACTCGTGAAAAAATATAAAAAAAAATCCTGTACCACTCGTGAAATAAATTCCATATCCAACTACAAAACATTGAATATCCTCTCTCTCTCTCTCTCTCTCTCTCTCTCTCTCTATATATATATATATATATATATATATATATATATATCTCCTAATTACAGCAGTAAGTAGGGCCTCTATTGAATTTTAATATATTTTAGAAAGTCTCTTTTTTTTTTTTTTTTTTTTTTTTTTTTTTTTTTTTTAAAATGGTCCTGAAAGTCTAATAATCTCTTTGTTTTTTTAAAATTTGTTTATTTCTTTCATTTAAGCAACACATTTATAGAGTCAAAATAATGTTTCAAAAATTTGGGTTGTTTTGTATTTTATTTATTTGGATCCAGGTTGCCTCTGTTTAGGTTGTAAATGTTGTTATTTTGCTAAAATGAATATGAATGAAAAAGAAAACAAGCGAATATATATAGGATGAGATAATTCTTTTCTCCTCATCTTCAAAGACCTAAATAAACTATATTTTCTCTTTATCCGTACCCAAAGAGCTAGAGAATTAGAGTGATTTTAGTGTTCATTCTCTTAGAGTCACTGTTTGAGACTAAGTTTGTTGATGCAGGAAAAACATCTCAACGAAAGACAAATGTTGAACTTTTTTTTTAATTTAACGAGTGGCAATAATACAACATTTTCAAACGTTGACATGTTGTTATTTTGTATTTATTGTCACTTTAAAATTCAGAAATTGCAACATGACGAAATGTTTTAAAAGGTGCATGTTTACATTTAAGATTTTATATATGTATATAACTATTTCCAGTCCGCCTATACCTACATTTGCTTAATTATTGGTGACCACCATTTGTATTTCTTCTGAAACAGTTGGATGCACTTTATTTCCTCACACTAGTCTCTTTGTGGGAACCACTCCGCTCCTTGCAAGGGAAGCCAGATGTTTCGATTTAAGTATCAATATTTTATAACACAAAGAAGGGAAAGTTGATTGGCGTTTAGTACTGAATAATCGTACGAACTGACCTGTTCGTTGTGTTCATCTTTGTTCTGCATGAAATCCGGAAGTACATACAGCAAGTTTATTAGTCAATAATTCAGAATGTGTACACATAAAAGAGAGAGATTAATATTTTGAAGATTAGAGAGCTTATAAATAATCAGAGAATCACATGTATATATATTACAGGTAAAAAAACCATTTACCCTTCAATTTTTTTTTTTCGAAACATGGAAAGAAGACGTTCAAGAAAAACACACAAATAGTAGTGTATAAAGGGATGGAATTTCCACATAAATATTTTTACTTTTTAAATTTTCATTGCATTTTACATAATTCTAAATAATCCATACACAAAAAGCAGAATCCTAGAAAATATTGGACAGACATTATAATGTTCTCATAAATAACAGTGGTTATTCACAAAACATCACAATACTTCTACATGTAAGGATACGTCCTCTTAAAGTGGTTAAATCCTGTATAAAAAAGGGAAATTGATATAAAAAAAGAATTGGCCTTGTATCAAAATTATATTTCAATAAAATCTGAAAAAAAATGAGGTTTTATATTTTTTAGACACTTTTACCTGGTAAATCCGCAATAAGGCTACATTCAGGAAACAATGTGGTGAAAAATGTTGTTTTTTTTTTTTTGGTTATAAAATAGCTCAAAATATTCCAGATAATTATCTCAAAGAAAGAGTACAGAGTACACCGTGTTCATGGTGCTTTTAAAGATGGAAAGAGCGGATGGTATGGTGTACAGATTGTATTATAAAAGAAGTACATTAATTAATACAAATATAAAGAAGTAGAATTGCTATATACTTTCAAGACTGTTAATAGTCTTTACGTTTTATCTTATGAATTGCAATGTAAAACCTTTTGGACCTAGATGAAATTGCATTTGCCTTCCCTCCGGTGCGTCCCTGTGAATTTAAAGTCAAGAGAGTGTAATGGTGAGCTCTGGCCAATGACCATAAACTGAGAACAGACAAAAGTCAAAATTTAGATTTTGAATGGTTTACAAGCAAATTTAAAAAGTTGAAAGTGTGTGAAATGTTCAAATACAAACATGATAAAAAGTGTGTCCAGAATAAATTTAAAACATCGCTTTATTTGGATGTATTTTCCACAATTTAAGTAAACAATGATAATTACTGTTCATCAACACTTTATTGTCTTTGAATTATTTTCCTGGGGGTAAATGGTTCGTACCCAATGTTAAAAATGAAATAGATAAGCTCAAATTTTACACCTTTATACAATATCCTTTTGTCAATGTCTAAAAGGAATTTTATAGCGTATAGATGGTGCTTAAATCTATTGTCAGTGTATGGTCTAAAGGCCTGGTTGATTAATATTACGTTTCAATAATAACAATAAAAAAGCTAGAGGTACTGTGAGCACTGAACTCTCAAAATGATACCCCTACTTCCATAGGAGTTAAATCGCAAGTCCATGATTTACTTTGGGAAACTCCAAATATCTGACCAAAATGTAAAATGGAGGTTCATAATAGCACTATGTAATAATGATTCTGTGAAAGTCTCATTTAATTTTATTCAGTGGTATAGGAGCATTTCGTATAAGAGATGGGTACCCCCAATATTATAGAAAGAATGGCAGTTTTCATGTTTTGCTATGTGAAACCCCAAATATGTGTGCGATCGAAACACAAAATATAAGGTGCACAATGCATTATGTCATAAACTTTCTGTGAAAGTCTCACTAAATTTTATTCAGTGGTATTGGAAGAATTGTGGATAGAGGATGGCTACCCCCAAGTGTACAGAATTATTGAGGACACCCTCATCAAAATGTATATATATATATATATATATATATATATATATATATATATATATATATATATATATATATATATATATATATATATATATATATATATATATATATATATATATATATATATATAAACGATGTCCGAGTCATTGGCTATTGTGGCTTTCTTTCTTGTACTACATCAAATTGTTACTAAATAAATCGGTGCCATCTGATAATACCAATACCCTTTTCAGTTTACCCAATAAATGAAATATCCTTTCTCAACAGATTAAGTTAATCATAATCATAACACAATGATTATTAGAACAAGATTTATAAAGGAGTAAATCATTTAAAATTCAATTTAGATAATTGTTATTGATTACATTTATTTCTAATGTTAAAGATTAAAGTTTGTATTTACATGTATTTAATGAAACTATGACTGCTGAATGTTATTTTTTTCCTAAGAAATAAATATGATACACATATATACATATTTGAAAGGATTTCTTCTTTCTCTCCTTCTTTTTTCTTGTTTTTTTTTTATTACTTTGAAAAGGTTGTTTTCTCAATTCTTATGTAGAAATATTTCGCACACTGTGCTACAAATATATGATCAAGCTCCTAAGTATAGTAACAATAAATAATTGTTATCAGTCTAACATCAGTTTTTTGCAAATATATTCAGGTTTTGATAAATATCACTTTAAAGGGTAATTGTCATTAGATTTGTTAGAAAATCAAACCCATATTGACGGAAACTGAACGATGATAATATAGCATCAGTGTAAAAAAAGAGAAAATTTTTTTTTTTCAGCGTCTTCAATAACCTCTTCTTAATGTGATGAAAGAAAAAAGTAAAATTAAAGAGAAAAAAAATATTTTTTCAGCGTCTTCAATAACTTCTTAATTTGATGAAAGAAAAAAGTAAAATCAAAGAATAAGGAGAAATTAAATAGAATAATTAAATAAATGGTTTGTTCCCTCTTCATCCTTGAAGTAACATAAAGATTCTTCTGATTGACTGATTTGATCGAGGAAGAATTTCTCTGTTAAAAAAGGTATTTTGGAGGGTACAAGAAATTAAAATGACAATCTTACTTCTTAATAAATGCCTAATAAAAAACGATCTTTTATCTGGTGGATTATCTTGACAAGAAATAACACACTTCATATGAAATGCCCTGTGGGTAGAAAGAGGACAACTTCCCGTTGGCAGAAGAGTGTTGTCAAAAATGGACGATTTTGGATGTTTACACAGTTGAACTTTTGAAGTGTCAAATCATGTTTAATGTTCTCATAAATGTAAAATCATTAATTGTCAATAATACATGTAATCAATTTTTAATACTTCTTTTTAAAAGTTACCGATTGACAAAATCATTCATTAGAAAACAAATCTGGAATTGTCAAGATTTTGCAATCAATTTAATCTTTATAACTTCGATTAATCTGATCACTTATTAGTGAAGCAAATAGGGGACTAGGATGAAAGACACGCGGAAAACATCAGATCAAGACTTTACAATATTACAGAAATAAACTTTAAACAATTTTTCTATTATCTTTCCAAAGTATTTTTCTTTAAAATACTTATTTGCAATATTCTTCAAATATATGAAGCACTTTATCTTAATTTCTTCTGTATAAAATATATAAATATAAAATAACAGACATCTAAAGTACGTTATATGTAAAGTTCTATGAATAATAAACAATGTATCTCGCTGTTATTGCACACGCTCTGTCAGCGTGACCCTGGTCAACTGTGTCAATTGATAATTGCAGATGTAAGTATATTTTGCACACAAAAATATAGGTTACATACCAGGATATGTGAATGTTTCATGCAGTCATATATCTTTAATTTATAAGGCGGGTACAACAACTATTCAAGTTCAAACTTAAGAATCTAGACATTTTACCCTTAAAACAATATACATGCATATATACAATTTACATTCCAATTCTTTTATCTCCTCATTGCTTTTATATACTATTAAACTATTTATTAATAGATTATTAATTATCATTAAAATCATCTGAAGCTGGCTTTGTTGTGTTAATACTCTAGAAAATTCAGTTTCATTTAAAAAAAATGATTTGTTAAACAGTTTTAAAATTTGATTGATAGTGATACTTTTTAGGAAAAGTTACATGATACATACATTTTCTCCCTATTTTTTTTTTTTTTTTTTTTTTTTTTTTTTTTTTTGTATTTTTATAGATTTGACAACAATTGGAACTGAAATAACAACACCTTACCGTTAGTGACATTACTCCATCCATTATTCAATAGATCGTAATTTGGCGTACTTCCTATATTTATTTGGGTAAATAATCAGGGTTTTCCCAAGCAACTTTCTTTATTACTATATCGGAAATCCTCATAACTCTTGTGTGATGAATACGTAAAAAGCCGAGATTGTATATGCGATGTTGCGGCCATTTTATGTATTACAATACAGTTACACTGAGGACAAAGCATTTTGAATTATATTTCACAATTTAACTTACTTATTTTAATCCTGTGCAGTCATATTTTGAAATAAACATGGATGATGAACTGGCGACAAGGCTGTTTTCCCCCCAAATTTTGTCCAGAAGTGTATATGATTTAAGATGAAATATATACATGTACGTTCGGAAACCAGAGTCAGCGTTTGCTTGCTACTTGTTATAAAGTAAATAATATCCCCCGTTAACTTCACATTATCATTAGTATTAATTAATTTCTAAAATAAATAAATCAATTAATAAATCAATTAATATTTTTTAAAGTCTCACATATTCAGAAAAGATAGAAATATGATCCAATATATTACGTTGCTCAAATATTATTTTTTTAAATATGCATTTGAATAAATTGCATTTATATCTGTTTAAGGAAGAGTGAAGTTCTGTTTTTTCACTTTATTAATTCACGATGAAATATTATATGAATTAATATTTTAAATGTATTTTATAGCAGAAGTTATTGATTAATTTTTTGAAGAGTTTTCCGAATAAAACAGATTTCTCTCTCTCTCTCTCTCTCTCTCTCTCTCAACAAGCAAATGAAAAATTGTCTTCCAAATGGATGTCCTACCAGAATGTTTATATTTTAGCTCATGCACACTTAAGTATTAGATTTTATCAGCAAATATATAGCTTGGGTGAAGGGTATCCCGCACTTGATAAAATATTTAAAATACATGTATGTTATTTGATAATTTTAAAAAAGTTTTTTAAAACCAGTTATTACTCCTTTACAATCATTCTGGGTAAGTGTGTGTCATTTACCATATATATATTTTTTTATTATTTTAGTGTCTATTTCTTCAAAATAACTTGAATAAAAGTATAATCAACCGAAATGACAACAGACGTGAAAGGCTTTTTGTTTATTATTAAGTCAAATTAAGGTCCAAAGAATTTTTATGTCAAGTTATGGAAAATACCATTTGAGTGTTTTCACACAAAGAATGATTAAATTAAAAAAAAGTTTTATTTTTTTCTTAATAAAATTTCAAACCTGGGAGCAAAATTCAAATGAAAAATAAAAACCATGGTAAAAGTTATTGGAATGATTACAAGTTAATGAAAAAATATGACAACACATGTTATACACTCCAGAGAAAAGCACCATTTTTCTCAAACATATTAAAAATACTTAAATTACATATAAAAAGAAAAGTATCCCTTTATCTACATATTACACGAAGTCATATGGAGCGTATTCGGAAGATGAATAAGGAATGTTTCCAAAAGACATATTAAATCTGCTGTACATTGGTCGGATTCGAGTGAAAATACTGAGAACACAATTTTGGCTTGTCTTTTGATAAGTTTATAATATGCTGTGATACAAAATAAAAAACTCACAGGGAAAATCCCAGTCACATGACGAATATGATGAACACTTTATTCTGAGCACAACAAACAAGTCATGTAGAGTTACTTTTATCGATTATAAGCTGTATAATCTTTGCCTTATCTTCTTCCATCTGACGAACATTACTTCTCAATTCTTCGTTTCTTTTTCTAAGTTCTTTCAGAGTCTAAATTAAAATACGAGATAAAGAACAGTAATGAAGCTCAAGTCCATTGAAACAATACCGAAAGGATATCAATCTCATAAATCCAGTAACAAAACGAACAATTGTTTTCTTGATATTCTTTATAAATTTATTATTTTGAGAATTTTCTTCTTATTATTGAAAATATTTATTTTTCATTTTTTTAAAAATTGTGATAATTTTTTCAATCATTTTTTTTTATTTCAGAAATATAACATAATTAGTATTTTAATCATATACACATTTTCATCCTATCATCATATCTAACGATTTTGATAATAATATTTAAATCATAATAAAAATTAACTTAAAATAAGAGAGTAAAGTACTTGTTTTTTTTCACATACTGTTGTGTGAATTATATTAATATTTATAAAGGAACTAATAAGTGAAATTGTTATCAGTTATTTAAATGGGTTGATTTGATTTTTGTTTATGAATAAACAATCTAAGAAAGATGTGTTTGTGTATTGTAGCTCTCCTAAAATTAATATTTCTTAAGGTTAAAAAAATTAAATTAAAATCCTACATAATAAATTATGTAGATTTTTCAAATGGTGTTATGATTCAAAAGATAACATCTAAGCAAAATATATATTATGAAATTTTCAAACTATTTTCCTAACATATTTCTGATAAAATATCTTGAATAAATTCATCAATAATTAATTTCCTTATACATCACTTAAAAACAATTACAATAAAAGTGTAAAATTTTATATTAATTTAAAGTAGTTCTAAAATTTAGTTCATCAATCTAAAAATGTAACATTTTATTCTTAACTGTTTTTAAGTGCTGTAACATTCCATAAATAATTTTTCTTATGATGCTTTTGTTGAAAAAAAAATATAATAATGTTGATTATTGAATTCAAAATTATGAGAAAAAATGTAAAATTATGAAAATGAATATACCTGATCGAGATTAGCTTTTTCTTCCTTTTCTTTTAATCTGAATTTCTTGGCCGCTTTTCTGTTTTGTTCCTGTCTTTTATTCTTTCGCTCGAGATCTTCCTTAGTTAACTGTTATTTAATTAAAAATTGTTATGACTTTTTTGATATATAAATATACATTTTTCCTAAAATACTATATCACATGCTAGAAAAAAAAAATGAAATAAAATATCCAGAGCACATTACCTCAACACATGCTTTCTTTTGTGGTGATGACACGTTAAGATCTATTTCATCTTGTCCTTGTAACAAACGTTTCATTTGAATTTTGCTTTTAAGTTCTACTTTAAGAATAGGCAGAATGCATCCAGATTTTTTGGCCTCTAAAGAAGCATTTCTTAACTCGTCGTCTTTTATCGTAGACAAAATATCTTCCGCCATGCTTCCCATCGAATGAGGAAAAACCGCGAATGCCGGCCAATTGTATTCCCCGTTTTCAGTTCTACGTAATATCCGGCTTGTGAGAATTTAAATATAATGCTTACATCTTGGTCGTTTGTCCAAAGATATTTCGCTGTGGGATCAATGGAATATATGTGCATCATCCACTTTTCTACGAATTGGTAGTACACATAGCAAACAAAACTGAAAGTAGTTTAGCTGGGTATAGGTGCTTGGCAAATTGCCTTAAAAGTAAATAAAACATTGGCGAACTTTAAACTTAACATGTTGTTTATTATTAACTCTATCAAAATAGATTCTAGACTGTGCATTTAAACAAAGCACGTGATGAACTTATAAATTACTTCTAAATTTCATATGTATATATGTCAACTTTAACAATTTATCATTACCTCAAGCGTCTGAAAATTGCAGTATTCCTTCTTTTACCAATGCTATTAGTCCCTGATTGTTTATACGAAGCGAGTATTAAACAGGTAAATATATTATTGTCTACCTGTCCGTCCTAATCTACAGCTGTATTTTGAAAGAATTCGTCATACTTTTGAAAACTGTGTACGGAAAAGAATTTCTCCAAAAATCTGATTGAAAAGTGTATCAATGTTTCTCGTGAAGTTGTTTATTAAACCTCACAAGATTAGCTAAGCAGGATACTATGATTATAAACAATACTCAGTGATTGTATTTTAAAAATACGCTGTGTACTTATGTGACAATGAGTTATAAATATTTTATACTCACTATTTATAGTGAGTCTTTTTACTTGATTTTTCTATATATAAAAATGAAAAAAAGGAAGCAAAAATCATACAAAAATACAATAAATGTGTTTTTATCTTTACTACTAGTTTGTTATAGATTTTTATAAAATAATGTAAAATAACCGATGTTCCAACTTTAAACCCCCATCCCTTAATTTTCTTGGCGCTATGTTTGTGTGTGAATGAGTAGGATTTTTTTATTATAAGAAATACTTTCAAAGACATTTTTTCTTCAAATATTAATTTATTATGGTGTAATTTATAATGAACATTGATTTTATTATAAAATCTGTATCATTTGGTTAAATCAATATAAATTATTATATGAAAATTTGTGTTAACGAATACAGTATTTCTTTTCTTTTGATATCATGTTTTGAAGTAGCTTGTCTGGCTACAGAGACCAGATCTCTACGCCGGCATGGCTTGGTGACACCTGTCTTTGTCCTTATTAACGATTTCATAAAAAAAGACTTTCTAAATTTTCTTATACCCGCTGTTTCAAAGTGTAATTGACGACAAGAAAACAGTGAAAAGCTTCTGTTTATAAACAACGGGCTAAGGAAAAGACCATTATAAATACTATATACTACCGAATCATGCTCTGAATCTGAGATTTTTTCACGAGACATAAGAAGCATCATGTGAAATTTTCACGTGCTGGGCTGAACAAAGACAGGAAATTAGCCACCATTTGTTTCACTACTCGCGTCCGTTCTCTCGGGTGAAGGCTTTACATCTTAAGAACAATTAGATCATCACATATTATGAAAGACATGACACTTATAAGATCAGTTTTGTTGATTTATTTTTATAAGTTTCATGTTTTGGGATTTATTTGCTTAATTAAACTTAAGGACAGATGATACAAACTTTTTTCTTTTTAAATCATGAACATAACAACTAAATCTACGTTTATATATATATATAGTAAATAAGTTTAAGCACATTAAGATTCATTTTTTTTCATTCAAAGGATAAGGCTTAGTAACGATCGAATTTGTCTTCTTATTTGATATAAAAATCAAAACACAGTTAAAATTTGATAGTTTGTAATTGAGAACTTTAAATAATGCTAGTTTTAAAACTAGCACTAATTTTTATTCAAAGCGTACACAGTGGGAAACAAAAATATTTTAGCGAATTTCCTCAGTTCTGGTTAAATTTTCTTAAATATGAGATACTTTTCAATTCAGAAAACATAGAGCATAAGCTTGGCTAAAAGATTTTCATACAAAAGAAAAAGAGAAAAGAAAAGAAAAATGAAAAGAAAAGAAGAAAAGAAACCAACTGTTTCCATCCTCTGGTCTCCAGAAAGATAAAAGATGTCAGATGTCTGAATCTTTTTTTTTATTTTGCAAAATTCGACAAAAGGTACCAAATGTCTCATCTGCTGCCTGGAATCACTTATTGCAATGAAGTATATGGAGGTAACGAACGTATTCAAGCTCAAAAGTCCATTTAACAATACAAAGTATTGAACAGAGCAAACACGGACCTCTAACACATCAGAGTTAGGATCAGGTGCCAAGGAGGAGTGAGCATCCCCTGCCGACCAGTCACACCCGCCGTGTGCTCCTTGTCATGATCGGGAAATAAGGAAAAAAATCTGTCAACAATTCAGTTTGTAGATAATGGCTAAACAATTAGTATAAAAGACGTAAGTCAGCATTTGATTTAATGATAAATTGTATTTGCTGACAAGGTCATTGTATCGACCATAGAACTTACGAAATGATGACTTCAAACAAGACTGCTGATATACCTGTTTCATTAACTTGTTTGTCAGTAACTTAGCTTAGAAATTGTTCATACGTAGAGCATGCTCTTGCGTATCGAATCAACTGAGAAAAATAAACCCCGTATGCAGGTGATGAAGATATATTGCTGCATAAGTAAGGGAAGTTGACGATTGAAAAGTTAAAGTGATCACGTTTATCATAAAGCTTGGTTGTTAGATTACCATAAATGTCTTTTTTTTCTAGAAAAATATCCAAATATGAAACAGACGTGGCAGACTCTGTGGTATCTTTTATTTCAAGTTCACGGGGATATATCGTATTGACATAAGACTGGAAATAGCCATTGTTAATTGACGTCGTCGATATATCTAAATGTCGAGTTGAAGGCGATTGGTACCCATGGGAATTCCAATAGACTGTTGGAAAACTTGGTCTCCAAAAACCACATAGATACTGTCAATCGGAAACTCAAGCATCTTTTTAATATCAACTTCAGAGTGCTTGTGTGTACAATCAGAATGTTTTTAACAAAATAACTTTACAAATGACCAATGACAAGCTTAGTAAATTTACGAGGTCCATTTTTATTGAAAAAGCAGCTGTCAATGATATCAAAAAGCCTGGACTTTAATTCATTGTGGGGTTGGTTGTATATAAAGTTGAGAAGTCGTAAGTTTTTATGTTGTTGATTTGGTAAAATTTTTTATTTCAAATTTTTCAAAAGTTCCTTGGAATTTTTAAGTATCCACTTCTGATTTACACTACTTCTCGAATATACTGTTGTACAGTACTCCTGACGTTTTCCTTTAATACTTTTAATATTTTAGTGAGGAGTAAAGAAAGAGGCTTGATAGAACATTTACTGGAACCCGCTATGCATCTTTGTTTGTAAGGATTTTTATGATTTTCGGAATCAAATATAGATATGAAATTTCAAATTCATGTTGGTTATTGGGAATATTAGAAATATTCAAAACTGATATATGATTTTGAAGAATTTCCTCCTTAGAAAGGGCGCTATGGGTATAAGTTGGATTACCACTTGTAGAATTAAACCCTAGTTTCACTAAAATACAATTTAAATAATTAGGCTTACAAAAAAAAGACAATGTTGTTACCTGTTTTGTCAGCAGGGAAAAGTACATACTGATCGTGTAATCTAATTTTTTTCACTTCTGAATTATTGAACACAGAAGGGTAGTTGGTTTTCATTTTGCCCCTCAATCGTTTAATGCGAGATTTTAACACTTGATACACTTAATCCATTCTGACAAAGTGTTGAGGTCTTCTTTTTCATGTCTGGCCCATCGCTTGGCATAATCTTCCACAGAATTCATAATATTTATGAAATTATGACGCCAGTTAAAAGATCAGGGTTCCCTAAATTTTGGCCCTATTAAAGTTAATGATTTAAGGTCTTCATTATTAACTATATTTACGTCACCAGCAATAACGTGCCCAGCAGGACTATAGTTGTAGGGTGAAGAAGAACATGAACAGGAAGGAGGATTATATTTCAGAAGGTATTGGTATACATATATATGTATTGGATTTCTGAATGTCTAAAAAGACATTCAAAAGGTTCAAAGTCACATGCTTTGGGGCGAAAATCGCTGTATTCTGAAATGGAAAGGCAATTGCATCGTGAATTTATAGAAATTCGGGAGGATGGATTAAAGGTAAAATCATGGTGGTTTAAATCACGTGCGGCCGAACTTGCAGATTCTGATTTCAAATGCAGTCGCGGCTGGTTCAACAATTTCAAAAAACGGCACAATTTCGTAGCGGGCACCAACCAGTGGGGCTCAATATCCACCAGATGCTAAAATTGAGGCGTTTACAGTTTTCACAAATTTATTCGAAAAAATGCTAGCAAAGACTGTATGGACCCGAATGGCCGCTTTAAATTAGTTGCAAACATGGACCAATCTCCACTCCCGTTTGATCTAAATAAGGGGAAAATGTACGAAAAAACTGGTGCTACTAAAGTATGGTGCAAAACAAAGAAATCCGGACTTGACTATAGACAATCCACATTACAATGCTGTATTTTCTCTGACGGCGTTAAACGCGTAAAACCGCTTATTATATTCCGGGGAACTGGCCAGAGAATTCCTTTCAGTGAACAAGTAAAGTATGATAGTCGCGTTGTGGTTCAATTTCAACAAAATGCATGGTGTGACGAGCAAGTTATGTTATTTTGGATTAACAATATGTGGAAATCTCTAGCAAACCAATTCAAGCCAACAATGTTAGTCGCCGATGTACACAGAGCGCAAAATACGGAAACAGTAAAATCAAAGTTCCGAGAGATCGGCACAACATTAGCGCTAATTCCGGGTGGATGCACAAGCGAACTCCAACCCCTAGATAGAGTATTCCACGGTCCATTGAAGAAAAAGATTGAAGAAATAACGGACAAGCATGTTCACGCAAATAGGAAACAATGGCTTGAGGGCACTTTCACAGCTTCAGAAAGGTACATGTTATTAATTTAACGTTAGCTCTGTGTTGTTTTTTTTTTATACCGAAGAGTTTTTCACACCTCAGTTTTGAAGGATGAGTTTAGATAGCAATTTAAAAAAATTCATTTAGTTTATGATTTCAATTTAATATATTTTCATTTGCAGGCGAATCCTTATGACTAAGCGTGGTCAGACACCTGCAAAGACCAAACTGAAGCTGTGGTGAAGGTTTTTAAAAAGTTGTGGCATCTCTAACAAGACAGATGGCAGTGAGGATCATCTCATTAACTTCCAGGGCATCGACAACTATACGTTTGAGACAGAGAAGGAGGGGGCTGAAGAGGATGAGTAGGCTGCTTTATTTTGGACAATGACAGTGATTCTGATGAAGACATTCCTCTGGCTGAGCTCAAATTAAGAGTGTGACAGCTCCACTATAGCCTTGTATTTTAGGGTTACGCATAGTGTTCTAATATAACTGACAGTTGAAATTTTATCATGCCTAAGAATTTTTAAAAAAATAATTTTTAAAACTTGATTTTGGACTTTGATTGATTTTTTTTTTTTATATAATTTTATCAAATTAAAGTTTTAGATTCATTTTGAATCTAATCATAAATGTCATGAAATGTTTATAATAAAGTTTAATAATTAGAATAATACTGTGTTCAATATCTTGCATGTAGAAAAAAGAAACATCTTTCAGTTTAAAATCTTTCCTAAATGGCATTGTTATGCCTGGCTTATTTTCAAAACAGGCTTATTTTCGAGTAATTTTCAATGCAAGAAGTAGGTGGCTTATTTTCAAAACCGGCTTATTATTAAAACTGGCTTATTTTCAAGGTATTAGGGTATTCGATATATAGGCTCTGTAAAGTTTTCTTGTAATTAAGAAGTTTGCAAGCAATAGTCGATGTATATTTGTAGGAAATACACGGTGTAGTCTTCAACTTGAAATATGGTTAAATAAAAGACTAGACCCTTTTTTTGATTTAGAAAATTACTTATATTAATCGCGTCAATTCGGTTGTTTTAGCTGAATTATCTTCTGTAAAACATGGCGGCTTAAAAAGCTGATGATTTACAGTATCCATAAGCACATATCCGAGCCTGTATTCTGGTGTCGAGGAATCAAAAAATGGACTTTCCTTGACCTTTTCAAATATACAATTTATAAGTTTCAAAGGAACAGAGTAGAGTTTAATGCGAATGTGATGAAGACCTAAATATTGATTTACATAAGTTAGTAATGCATCAAAAGAGACATCGTGTATTAAAGGTTTATTGTAAGACCGATGACCATGACCATGACGCCTACGTCTCTGTGTATGGTTAAAAAGTTCCATCACATTTACATTGTTACACTGTGGACTGGAAAGATTCCCAACACTATCGACATTGTCATTGCATCCATAGGGAAAGGCCGTGCCTAATTTTCTAATCCAATATTCTTCTCGTTGTGTACGGAAGGTGTACTCAATGATGGACTGTTTGTATGATGGTAAATATTTTCTAGAATTCTAACTTTCATTGACAAAATAGAATGATCAGGTAAATTAAAATGCTTGTATAGAAGCTGCTGGCCCCTATTGTTAATTTGAACTCTATGTCCTGATATTCTTTTATTAAGTGAACCCTTGGTTTCATCAACATAAACAAGTCCACAAAGATTACATTCTATTCCGTAGACAACATTAGAAGATTTGCAGTTCAGCTTTTCCCAAGTTTTGATATAGAAGCTCTGTCCAGTAAGATTACTAGTAAAGAAGTGTTAGTAATCAAAACGTCACAGGTTTTGCAGTTTTTCACAAAACATTTTGAAATAGAAGACATAAGATCGGAAAAGGAATCATCAAATATATCTCTAATAGAAACTTTACATTCTTTCATGTTTTTGTATGAACAATTTGTTTTATACCAGAAACTGGGAATCTGAAGACTGAACATATGACATATGTTTAATATCCTTGAGGATTATTCGAATAACACCGATGGAACTCTTTGAGTTTGTGTACCTTGTAGACCCAAACCAGTGACGCCTTTTTATACAGGGCGACGCGTCTGCCAGTATCATTTCGATATTCTGTGTATTAACGAATGAATAGGTACCGAGCGACAAGTATCCTCGGGGACAGACTGTCCACCAGCAGAGATACATGTTCGGTTGTTAAAATGAAATATATGGAGATAACGAACAATATTCAAGCTCAAAAGTCCATTTAAACAATATAAAAATCAGGAGCAGAGCACACACGGATCTCTAAAACATCAGAGGTGGGATCAGGTCCCATGGAAGAGTGAGCATCCCCCGCCGACCGGTCAGACCCGTCGTGTGCTCCTTTTCATGATCGGGAAATAACGGGGAAAAAATCAGTGTGCAAATAATGGCATAAAAATTAGTATGAAAAATGTCAGTCAGCATTTGACCTAATGATAGATTGTATTTGCTGACAAGGTCATTGTATCGACCATAGAAGAAAATTGCAGTGGAAGTGTCTCATACATTTTTTCCTACAATAATTTATCTGCAAAACCTAATATGGTATAAGCTTGCCTTTATAATTAAAACTGTCCAAATATTGGTAGCTGAGTGGGAAAATCGGTTCACACCTCAAAATACTATTTGCAGCAAAATACTGAAATAATTGTGTTAAAAAAAGTGTTTAAACATTCTAATTAACAAATTTATTGCTTTAAAGAAGTATGCACTATTTTTCGGTGCTATTTTTATAACATCCTTTTAATGTAGTAGAATTCTCTCCGAGAACCGCACATATCAGGGTGTGAAAGGATTTTTCCTCTCGGCGAGCAATGTTTTGTTTCAAATAAAGATGATTTATCATGGCTTTGCTGTTCTTGAGATGATTTTCTCAGATTTGTCTTCTAACTTTGATCTCCCATTGAGGCCCCTACATAAACCTTGGGGGTCATAATTTGAACAAACAAAATCTACATTATCTGAGGATGCTTCAATATTAAAATATCCCAAGGTCTCCAGTTCTTGAGCAAAAGATTTTATCGAATATATTTGCATGTTACCTTTGATCCTTTTCTGTGGCCCCATGCTACCTTGGGTGCCATGATGTGAACAAATTTGAATCTACACTATGTCAGGAAGCTTTCAAATACGTTACAACTTTCCTGGCTGGTTCTTGAGAAGATTTTTAATTCACACCTCCTTATTTTTGCCTTTTCTTTATTATCTTTCTAAGTTTCCTTGGAAAGGGACACTGTCCTTCATTTGACAATCTTGAATCCCCTTCACCCAAGGATACTTTGTGGTAAGTTTGATTGATATTGGTCTAGTGGTTCTGAAGAAGAAGTTGAAAATGTGAAGTTTACATACGACACACACCCGCACGACGACGGAAAAAAAAAAACAGAAAAAGGTCACCTGAGTGACTCAGGTGACCTAAAATGCTATAATTTTTACATGCACTACCTGCTACATGCCGCAGAAGGCAGTCTGAATGATACTTTGACCTGCTGACTTGTAGTAATTATCATACAACTTTAGGTTCACCTGAAATCTGTTTTTCAGAACAGTGACCTTGCACTATAACAGTCTGGTTTTTTTTTTCATTTTGAAAATGACAGATTACTGTGAGAGCACAAATTTTCGTGGGGGTAAAGTTTTCGTTGTTTTGGTGGCATGTTGTGTGCTGCACTTCTGAAACAAAGAAACCAAATCCCCTCGAAGGGGTCAAGTTTTCGTTGTTTTTGTGGAATGTTGTGTACTGCACTTCTACATTTTTTCCTCAAGCCATAAACAATTGATTCCATGAAATTAAGTGATTATAATTAAAGTATACCACTTCTTGGGTCATACAAAGGCATAGAAATATTAAGATATTGTACATAAACATTTTATTTCATACATAACAAATATAAAAATATATAACAATATACAACATACCAGCACTGTTGGCATTGTGGCTATATGCTGGGTCTTTGAACACATTTATCAGCACTAGGCGTTACAGTATAATTACAATCCTGAATTCCAGCTATAAAAACAACTCAATACGCCATTGTTTTATTCTGAACACTCACATTTCACGGAGTTATCCTGTATGGAAGATGTTACTAGAATAACTGAGGTAAATTCTACATTGCATAAAATTCTAAACTGAATGGTAAAATATGACTACAAAATTAAAGGTTTAAAGAAAGCAAATTAAAAATGCCAGGTTACACGCATGCTACACAATCAAGAAGAGAAAAATAATCATACATCTCGTTACAAAACATATGGCAATAGAATCGGGATTATCAATGTACATTTCTCTTAAAATGATCATGGAAGCCAATCCCCACACAAACAAGTCTATATAGTTTTGAATCATTCATCAATGATATGAATGTCATTACATGGCTCTATAGCATTTAATGCCCAGCTAACAATACAGATTAAATTGGTCTGATTTGAGGGTGTGATTGACCAATGCAGTAAGTAAAAAACATTTTATACAAAACAAAAATAGTATATATTTCTAAACAATGTAACATCAAAAATACTGCAACAGGTTTTAACAAGGCAAAAATCTCAAAACTTACAATTTTAACAACAAAATGATAATAAATTCAGACTAAGCATATAGATATGATATTTACAAATGCGTTACAACCAAACAAAAACGATCGTGGTTTTTAACACTAACACTGGGTTTATATACAAATACAGTGCATGCCATTTGATCCATTTTGAGAAATTTTATGAGAATAAGAATACAGTGGAATGATATAACACTATGAGTTTCATTTACTTTCCCTGAGAATTGAGAAATATGGAGACAACTGGTTTCCCAGGTAAAACAAAAAAGTATTTTGCAAAAATATTTAAGGAGCTCAAAATTTAAAATCTACAGGTTGATTCCTCATTATATTAATGGTAACTTAAGAATTTTTATCACTTTTTTGGAGTCTATGTATCGAAAAAAAATGCAATGCAATGCAAAAGTTTAAAAAAAACAATTGTTCAAAAGAAAAGCTTGGTAAAAAAGTTTGGCAAAATTGTCAACATTGTACTTAATGCTGAATAATGCATTGACTAAGTAAAGTTCAAATGGAATAATCCAGAAAGTCGTGGCCACTCCAGTGGCCTGGCACCTCTTGTTCCGGCGAGGCTGGGTTCCCAAGAGTCTCCACACTGAGTAAACCTTTATACACTTCTATCTGTTGCTCCAGGTGTTCTGTCTGCCTTTTTAAATCTTCATTCCTGGCCTTCAAGAGTTCTAACTCCTACAACAGGGAAATTGAGAGCTCATAATATTAATGATTTATTGAGGATGGGATCATCAAGTATTGATCCGGAACCTGACATTCTGCCCATGTTTTGTTGTTAACTTTGTGATTTTACCTTGTCTTTATCCTTCTGACGTTCCTTCCTCCTCTGTCGACACCTGTGTGCCGCCTCCCTGTTACATTCCTTCCTCCGCCTACTCTTCTCTTCTTCCTCCTCCGTCAACTTTAAATACAGCATGTCTAATTATTCAATCTCTACGGATTACTTTTAATACAGCATGTCTAATTATTCAATCTCTACGGATTACTTTTAATACAGCATGTCTAATTATTCAATCTCTACGGATTACTTTTAATACAGCATGTCTAATTATTCAATCTCTACGGATTACTTTTAATACAGCATGTCTAATTATTCAATCTCTACGGATTACTTTTAATACAGCATGTCTAATTATTCAATCTCTACCGATGACATTTAATACAGTATGTCTAATTATTCAATCTCCACGGATGACTTTAAATACAGTATGTCTAATTATTCAATCTCCGCGGATAGCTTTTAATACAGTATGTCTAATTATTCAATCTCCGCGGATAGCTTTTAATACAGTATGTCTAATTATTCAATCCCCAAGGATAACTTTTAAAACAGTTTGTCTAATTATTAAATCTCCATGGATGACTTTTAATATCGTATGTCTAATTATTCAATCCCCATGGATAACTTTAATACAGTTTGTTTTATTATTCAACCCCGCCAGGTTTTGATTTAAAAAAAAAATACTATATAGTTTAAATAAATAAATAAAAAATAATAAATCTGAAACATTTACTAGTCATTGAAAAGAATCTCCCCGTTTACCAAATATTCTAATATATTTTATTATACTCTTGCTCAACAATTAAATGTATAAATTTCTGCATGATGGATGTCAGTAGAAGCTTAATTTTATAATCACCAAGGGAAGAAAAGCTACTTATAAAATGCATTCAACAGTAGAAATTGTTGTTTTAATTGGGATAGCATAAAATTAGTTACGGTTAACTGAATATAATTATTACTTAGTTTACAGAAATATGTATACTCACAGGTGTTGCCGTGGGCGGGCTGAACTGAACATTAAGTTCCTCCTTCCCCTCGGATAACCTCCGAGATTGGATTTTACTCCATAGCTCTACCTTTATAAGGGGGGTTAGTTGACCCGATGCCTTGGCCTCCTCCCCCGCCTTCATCACCTCTTCATCAATCCCTTGAATGTCTTGCATCTATAGTCAAAACAAGATGTGTTTGTAAAACACTGATGCCCCCGTATGACATCGTATAGCGAAGGTAAAACTTTCTCAAATACAAACCATGGTACATTTGGTACCCAAAGTAATGTCTTGTCTCGAGGAATATACCTGTGAAATATGAAATCCCTAGCATCAACCATTGAAAAGATATGGAAAAAGTTAAAGTTTTTTTTTCAAAAATAAGTCAAAAATTAAGATCAAGGTCAAATGACCAAAATTAATGGTTCCCAAGGAAAGGCCTTCTCACAAGAAATACAATTGTGGAATATGAAAGCCCTAGCACCAACCATTCTAAATTTATGGCCAAGGTTTAAGTTTTTCAAAAGTAGGTCAAAAACCAAGGTCAAGGTCAAAGGGTCTAAGTTGTTGGTATCCAAAGTAAGGTCTTGTCATAAGGATTACACATGTAAATGAAAGCCCTAGCACCAACTGTTCAAATTTATGGTCAATGTTAAAGTTTTCCAAAAGTACGTCAAACTCCAAGGTCAAGGGGTCAAATATGATGGTACCCAAAGAAAGGTCTTGTCACAAGGAATACACATGTGCAATATGAAAGCCATAGCTCCAACCAATTATAGTTAATGTTTTTGCGGACAAAACAGACAAACAGATGGAGAGGGCAAAAACTATACGCTCCAAAATCTTAGGGGCATAAATAGGTTCGTATACTTTGAAGAGTTCAATGCTGATGAAAAAAAATCAAAATAATCAACAAAACTTATACTTTTCATCAAGTTGATGACATTTCGTAACCTATTAAGGCACATGAGCTCACCTGAGTAACTTTTGCCCTGTTGTTCTTCACATTATTTCCCCCCTTGCAATACTTAATGAGGCCCCACCTTACCCCATGGGATCATGATTTGAACAATTTAGAAATCTAAACTACCCCAGGATGCTTCCACATAAGATTCAGCTTTTCTGGCCCAGTGGTTCTTGAGAAGAAGATTTTTAAATATTTTTCCTATATATTTCAAGTGAAAACTTTGATTCACTTTTGTGGCCCCCTCGTACCCCCCGGGGGCCATGATTTGAACAATTTAGAATTTACACTACCCAGAATGCTTCCAAATAAGTTTCAGCACTTCTGGCCCAGTGGTTCCTGAAAAGAAGATTTTTAATGATTTTCCCATTATATTTCATTGTAAAAGTTTTTTCCCCATTGTGGTTCCACCCTATCCCCGGAGGGTCATGATTTGAACAATTTAGAATTTACATTACCCTAGGATGATTTGAACAATTTAGAATTTACATTACCCCAGGATGCCTCCATATACGTTTCAGCTTTTCTGGCCCAGTGGTTCTTGAGAAGAAGATTTTTAAAGATTTTTCCTATATTTTCAATGTAAACCTTTGATTCCTTACTATGCCCCCACCCTAGCCCTAGGGGCCATAATTTGAACATTTTAGAATTTACTCTACCTCAGGATGCCCCTCTTTAAGTTTCAGATTTTCTGGCCCAGTGGTTCTAGAAGAAGATTTTTAAAGATTTGTCCCATATATTTCAATATAAAATTTGATTCCCTATTGTGGCCTCACTCTACCCTCGGGGGCCATGATTTGAACAATTTAGGATTTACACTACCCAAGTATGTCTCTAAATAAGTTTCAGCTTTTCTGGCTCAGCGGTTTTGGAGAATATGATTTTTAGATGATTTTTGCCTGTATAATTCAAAGTAAAAATTAATTCCCTATTGTGGTCCCACCATACCCCCGGGGTCATGATTTGAACAATTTAGAATCTATACTACCCCAGGTATCTTCCACATAAGTTTCAGCTTTTCTGGGCCAGTGGTTCTTAAGAAGAAGATTTTTAATGACCCACCCTATTTTTGTCTTTTCTTGATTATCTCCCCTTGTAAATGGGCTTGGCCCTTCATTTCAACAATTTAAACTCTCCTTCAACCACATCGTTGCAAACCACGGCCAAAATGTACGATCCTCTCCCATTCTGGCCTTGGGTAGGAGAGAGCTATATGCGGACACCGGACAGTGGCTTTAGACGATGCTTCAACCAGGGATGCTTTGTAGTAACTTTGGTTAAAATTGGTCCAGTGGTTCTTGAGAAGTGGAAAATGTGAAAAGTTTACAGAGAGACGGACGGACAACGGACAACAGGTGATCAGAATAGCTCACTTGAGCTTTCAGCTCAGGAAAGCTCAGGTGAGCTAAAAATCTAATAAATAAGGTAGGTAATTATTTTTATACCAAGACAAAAGAGAGGTAACTCATTCTTAAAAACAATACAACAATACATGCTTTGGTTTCTGACCATGCAACACGTATATTGAAATTTATTCAATATTAACAAGATATTGTACATGAAGTGTTACATTAAAAGATCATAAAAAAGTTTATTTACAACAATCTTAATATTTTTTTTACTCATATGTTTAAAATTATAGACTCTGTGCTGCATAAGGACACCTTTCTCGAGATATTGGCACATAACTTTTTATTAATTTCGGAAAAGTTTATTTTAATATTGATGCTTACAAAACAGAAAATATTATAAAAAGTATCAAAGATTTATCAACAAGTATCCACCGAATCTTTACTGTGCAAAAAAATTATGTATCAATTTTGATAATTATTATTTCTGTTTCAAATACTCAATAAAAAATTTTCTCCTTTACGAGGACACACATGGTATTGAATGATATTAACATCATACATTTTTGCAATGGCCTTTGTGTACATGCATGCTATCTAAATCTTTTATATTTACAGACGATAATTATAACAATCCAGAAGTAGGGGGCATAAAATGGCTGGTATTTAGACAATGGTAAACACATAATAAAAATAGAAACAGTTGATATCACTATAACAACGAAATTAGGATACTAGTATGCAAATTTCTCTTAATCCCCCCCTGTTGTGGCGGGGTTACATTCACATCTCAGACATTAACAAGGTTTTCGATTGGACAACCTGTTCTGGCGTATTTCACAAGAATCTCTTGACCCTAATTATGCACCACTAATATGATTGGAGAATAACAAACTAAAATAAAATTTCTCACCCTCTACCAGACTACTTTTGTATCATGATCGTTTGATTCTAACATACACCTTTTTTTCAAATCAGATACATGTAGTTGCTGCTTTTCTTAATAACTTTAAATACACACTCAAGACTGGTTTTTTTTCCGGAACAACTTCCAAAGCTGTCAATAAAAGGTGTGTTCCGTGTTCGCTTCTTTTGTTTCTTGGCTGTTGTTGTTTATTTTGAATTTTTTTAAATAATTTTTTTGATGTGTTTGTGTCTGGTAATTTTTTTGATGTGTTTGTGTCTGGTAATTTTTTTGATGTGTTTATGTCTGGGGTGGGGGTGGGGGGGGGGGGGGTTGTTAAGTCTCCAGAGTTTACGGTCCGCTTTCTTTATTTATGATTTCAAATGAATTAAATACAAATACATGGATTGCTAATTATTTTCACTTCTTTATTTAAAATATAAATTCCTTAATGATCTGTCTGTTCTGCTTCAGCTGTTTTCAAAAAATAAGCTTGAAAGAAATTAAAAAAGATAGCAAGAATGAGGGCGTAAATTATAAATATATTTGAAATATGGCTTTATAATTCACATGGGATCCAACCAACCAAATTTTTAACGATATTCATTATTTGAAATATGCCTATAAAAACATAAAATTCACAAAGGAACTGACCAACCAAATTCTTGATATATTAAAAGATTTTTTATTATTGATTTTGTCTACGAAAAATTACAGAAACAACCACCAAAGGGAAAAGATTTCAATAAAGCTTCCGTAATGTATTTAAAACAAATAAATATAAATGTAACATTAAAAAAAGCAGAAAAAAGTCAAACGCAAAACAAAATAAACAATTGAAATATATTTTTCTCACAACTAAATGTTTTCTTTATAATTTTCCTTTCCAACAATGAAATACAGAAATATGAAGAGATATTATGGATAAATTTCTTAAAGGCCTACACACATAAAAAAACTGAATATTTTTCTCATTTATGTTTTTGACTGATTTTTTTCAAAACTGTCAGTTAGGCTTATATTGCTTGTAAGAGCATCTTGTATCCATTGTAAAAAATAAACTCTTGTCCCCGTTTTAATCATTTCAAACGTAGAATAATAGCCCACCACCAGGTTTATAGCCTGGAAACCACAGCAGATATGTAGGGACATCAGTTTTCTTTTTTTTTTTTTTTTTTTTTTTTTTTTTTTTTTAAATTGAAAACATTTTTGAAATTTGTATTTGGAAGTATTTGAAATACAAACGGCATTGTTAATTCCATCTTTATTTGCTTTCACTTTCTCTTAATTTTGCGGAGAATGTCAGACAGTACAGATATAGATGACATTCAATGTTTTGTCGATGGATATGGAATTTATTTCACGAGTGGAACAAGATTTTTTTTGATATTTTCAAGACTGCAAAGCATGAGTGAAAATAGCCAAAAAAGTACTGTCTCACGAGTGAAATAAATTTCATATCCAATTATAAAACGTTTATTCTAATGAAACTTTTTTTTGTTAAATGCATTTTGATTGGCTAATACACTGATGTTTGAGGAGGTTAAACGAGCAATAACCAGAATGAAAGATTTTGATTGTGACGTCATAATAGCGACGCAAAAACACTACACTTCATGACGTATTTCATATAACTCAACAAAATAAGACATAAACATCAAATAAAATGCATATATATTGCATTAGAATTGAAATAACTCTCTTCTCATATGTTATTTGCGACCGTTTATGCCGTTTTACCGGCTCCGCTTATGCGTCGCCGGTAAAACTCAGTTTGCGACCGTTAAATCATCATTAACGGTCGCAAATAACAAATGAGATGACAGTCATTCCCTAAATACATTTTTTTCAATTTTCCCCTTGCCTCTGTCTTTTTGTAAAACAGCGTCATAAGCTGTGACGTCATAGTTGATCGGTTGAGACGTCATGTAGCTTCACGATCAATCTAACCATAGCTTTCAAAAACATATTTGAAAAAAAAATTGGCAGTTTCATTCTCTGTCAGGACTCTCTATCTTATAACAGACCAGGGAATATTTTTTTCAACACTTTTCTTGAAAAAAAAGGGGGCGGGGACTCTTGAGTTTTGCCGCACTTCTGATATTTTTAACAGTGACAAAATATCATTTCGATATTTTTTCACACTGTAATAAAATATCACTTCTATACAATACATAAATTACAGTATTTCACTGTTGAAAATGTAATAAAGTTAATTATTTCTTTAAAAAAATGAATGGAATTAAAGGAAGTCTTTTATTTATTAAGCTAGTAAAATATTTGTCTGATTATTTTGTCTGTTATGTATAGATGTAAATATATGTACAATGTACAGGTGTCTTTTAAAAAAAAAAATAACCAGATAGTGCAAATTGTATCATATTTAACAATTAAAGATATTCAAAGCAATATCAGCTGCAATTTTTGTATTGAATTTTTTTTTATTTTATAAAATTTTAATTTATTATTTTAATGAGAAAAAATGAGGGTTTATAAACTTCTTTTATCAAAGTTGCGTTGGAAAGTATATTCATAAGCTCCAATTGAAGCAAAATTACAGTTTAAAAACCGAGTGTTATTCAAAGTTACAGGGAGAACTTTCAGCACATTTTACACACACTCGCTAGAAAAACTTTAAGACGGTAATATAAAATATGCATATTTTCTTTTAATGATTCTTTGATGTTTTTTATACTTAGCTTTTTTCTAAGCCTGCAATTTAATTTAAGAAGTTTAGCACCCCCACCCCCCCAATATAAACAAATGAATTTTTTTAAAAAAAATATATAAAACGGAAAAAATTAGCAATTAGTTATTTTTCTGAACGACATTTCTGAGATTTTAAACGATTAAAATTAACGGTTGGCTATTTAAGAACACTTTTTGACAATTTTATTTCAGATATTATTTTGCAATTTTTTGCATAGCTTTTTCCCAAAAAGGTTTACTTGTATTGGGGTGAGTTGTATTAAAAGTGCTGCTGAATTTGAAAAAAGCTAAGAGTAGGACAATGTTATGGACGCCATATTGAATCACATCGATGGCGGAATTCTGGTCACCGTGACATAGTATGAGCTTGGTTGCTTGCTGAATAATGTTTAAATTATCAATGCAAACATTTCGTATGATATTTCGAACATATATCATTACTACCTTTTTCTAAGACAACTTTAATTTGACAGACAGTTTCGTTTGTAAATTGAAAACGACACCCACCCACGTTTTTTTTTTTCTTTTTTGAATTTTAACGGTTAATGGAGCATTTTTTGCATTTAGAAAGACACACAAGTTTGGAATAAAAAACTTTTTGTTTGTTTTTTTATCATCTGTATTATATAGATCTAGTCTTTACAAAAAATATTCAATTCTAAACATATCTATCGTTATTTAAATCACCATAACCTATCGATTTTCCAACTGCATTTAAAGTCAAAGTTGTTGTGATCATATGCAACTTTAATTTTAAAAAAAAGGGGGTTATCTCATTCCTTTCTATAAAAATAATGTGTTACAAACAAAACGTTGTGGCAACGAAACAAAAATGGCCGAATTCTATTTTTGCATCCATCTCTCAGTCGGCCAATCTGCAAAGCTTTAGATTTCAAAATATAAATTTCCATCACATTGTAAAATTTGGAGGAAAACAGAGTAAAATATTTTGTACCCCGAATATTGATGGTAAAATGTTAAATATAAACTGCATGATAAAAGATTTATATAAATAAATACTACTCATATAAATTTGAACTTCAATTTTCTATCTAAAAATAAACTTTATATGGAAACACGTTTTTTGGACTGTATAAGAAAGAAATTTACCGTCAAGGAAAGACTTAGACTGGCCATTAAAAGGATATTGACAACTTCAGCAATTTTTATTTTCACGCTATGGATGATTATCCTCAATGTTTGTAAACAAACGATTCATTTGCAGCAACTAAACTCGTATCTTCTTTGATAATGCAAAAATAGAGTTGAGTAGAAGTGATTCCTACCTTACTATTGGTAGTATATCCAAAATCAATCAATCAATCACCTCTGTACACTTTAAACTTTACCTTTAAAAAGTCCGCTACTCAGCGTTTCTGAAATCGAACATGTCTCGACAAGTTTTGCTCGTTCAGCAAGGGAGATTATTCTAATACACTAAATGACGTCAGCCTTGCGAAAAAGCTAAAAATAGTAAAAGGTACTTTCCTAAACAATGTTCTTTTAAGGGACGGAAAGGATATTTGAATCAAACGTTTCAATTGTGATCAAGCATACATTATTCCAAGTAAACAATGAATGATATTTGTACATTATATTTAAATCGTTATGTCCTGATTTGTGTTCATTTTAAATTTCAATATGTTTACGATAGAAGAACCTCTTTCGAAGTGTGTCAATATTCCCCAATTCTGCCTCAGAATTTCAATTTCCCTTTATCATGCCACTATAGACTGTAGCAAAAATTAATTGCATGTTATCGATTAACCATGAAATAGTACTAGATTATGTAACATATATCTAAACTTTGTTTGTTGATTTTTATTTCAAATTGATGTCAAATGTTCCACGTCACCCCGAAAACATCTCCGCACAAAATACAATGAGGTACAGGAAGGGGTAAAACGACTATCAAAACATGGATTGCAAGTCTACCCCCCCCCCCCCCCCCCCCCCCCGATAAATTTGCCGAACTATAGAAAAACAATAGACCTTACGTTATGATTGTATCCTCTCAATAATAACGCCTGATGACCCTCCCTTTTTTCTTTTGCTTGTCAAGCAATTTTTGCTTGTAGTGCCCTTTACCCTCAACTGAAATTGCTTCCTATGGCTTATGTGCATTATTGGCTTCAGATACATTTATTTTAATTTAAATGATTCAAATAAATAAATGTTATGTTTCAATTATTCCCATCTGATGAGGCAATAAATTAAAAAGTTGCATATGCCTCAATCTTTTTACTACATTGAACAATCATCCAGTGACCTTTGCTGAAATGCAAATTCCTAACTGGGAGTAGACCCTCTTTGCTTTACGCAAAATTCAGTAATTCTCCAACAGAAATCAAATATCTTTATATGATCCTCCAAAGTCATGGAAATGTTACATATTCTATTGTTATATATTAGCCCGTCACGTGTATTTGTGTATTCAAAAATAATCAATGAACTAGATTTTTAAACATGTGAAGAATTCATAGAAAATACGTTAATAATCATTTGGATTGACAGGAAATATAGAATATATTTTAAAAAAAGGAGAGTTTATTACCAAATCAGGGTCCAAATGAGGACAAAATACATCACAGATTACAGAAAATATACTATATAGAGTTATCATTTGTATCTATAAATAAGTTTGTGATAGAATTCGAATCATTTAAAGAGATGACAACTTTTACAGTACATGTAATTTTAAAAACTTTATAGAGGAGGCTTATATAGGCAATGCCTGCTGTCTAATCCATTTATTATCCGATACATAATCAAATATATTCCAATAAAAAAAATGAAATCTTATACTGGGGTCAATTATAGGATTTGATTAATAACAGTTAGGGGTGTTTTCCCTCCATGTGAAAATTAAACAAAGCGGTGTATCAAAGACTATCTTTGCAGCAGACGCGAAAGTCTGAAACATCAAAATTTAAAGACATTCATGATCATCAACGTTTCAATTTATAAAATCTCAAGGTGTTTTGTAAGTTGACTTTTCTTTAGACTATACAATGTATAGATTTATTCTGATCTTAGTTTAGTAACCCGTTACATATGTACCTGGTGCTGAGTTTGGATTAGTTTATTAATAAGAACATGAAACAGTTTTATTATTGAAATAATTCTTAATGATATCGATGGAGGTAGCTCTCCAATCAATGTCGACAAGTATTTATTATCAGCCTTGGCCTACTTCTTCTCTGGCTCTGACGATGTTTGGATTCAAAGCAAAAAAAAAAAAAAAAAAAAAAAAAAAAAAAAAAAAACAAAACAAAACAAACAAACAAACAGTACATGACGATATTTAATCACAAGTTCAATGGAAAAAACTTGAACAATGTTATATTTCATCTGCCGCTCACAAATTATGTTTAAAAAAGATTGAAAACAAACATGGCAGTTATTATACACATTGTAAGTCATAATGTCTGGTCTGAGCTAGAACATTACGGAAGTCATGGGAACTTGAAAATCTTCAATATTTGACAGTTCTCTGACAAAATATTGGTGTTTGTCATACTTTTCCACTTCACAATACATGAGACAATTTGTCATACAATCTAATGTGCTGCAAAAGCCCCCCTTTCGAGGGAATCTTTGTAAAAGCCCATCAATTTCAAGTCCCCGGGCCAACACAGCTAGATTCACGGGATATGACGTTGTCTCCCTCGCGCAGGCGCATACATATAGTACATGGTGAGCGGCAGTAAAACTCCTTCACGGTTTACTGAGCATCACGATGCGACTATCGCACTCGTTGTCATGGACATGGGGGCGTCCATGCTGGCGGCAGATCCACACATTCCTTCTGTCACGGGGGCATAAGGATGTGTTGTAGGATGATAGCCCCAAGGCCAAGGAATCTTGGCCTTCTTCTTAATCAACCCTTCGATGATGGACTTCTGTTCCTCGAGATTGCGAACCATTTCTAAAAGCTCCTGGTGGCGCTTTTCTAAGTCGGCAAGTATCTGAAAGTAGAAACAGTCTTCGGTCATTGAGGAATCGGATTACATGAGAAACTTGGATCAGGTGTTTTTACAACCAATGCATGCAGATCAGTGTTGTCTATCAATTGTCTACAACCGTTTCTATTTCTTATTGTTGGAGTACAAGCCAGTAGGAATCGGACGGTACGGGGTGGGGGGACAATAATTTTGTCAGTATATATTATACAATAGAAAAACAAACGTGTATGGTTGTGCCCCTTCAATGACTACGTCTGATGACCTTTCCTCTTCTTTTCTTTATTATTATTAATTTGGTTTGTCATGGAATTTCTCTTTTTCTGTGCACGCCATCCTTTTTGTCCTACTTACGAACATGGACAATTAAAACTTTACAAGCAGAAATCATGAACAACGTTAAAGCAGAAATCGTGAACAACGTTAAAATTTAGGGGTTTTTTTTTATATGGCCAAGTTTTGTTGTTCAAGTTTTTATATCATAAGCAAGATAGTGATACTCATTTTTTATATTTCGGTCTAATTGTAATAGTAATATTTTTAATGACCACAGAAAAATCCGTCATGTGTGAAATTTAATTAAGGCAATGATGCCAAACAATGACATTTGTAACAGTGTTCTGAAAGAAAACTAGACCAGACCATTGCCTAGAGTAATTTTCATTTTTTTTAAACTTTCAATTAATATATTTTCAAAGTGTGCAACATCACCCATCCTCACCCTATAGAATAGGTATGGCTCAAAAGGTAATATACAATTTGACCTGTGCGACAGGTGCACTATTTACCTGGTTTTGGGAGCTGGTCTGGGCGCGTCTTCTTTGCCTATAATTCTGAGCCGACACTTTGTTCCTTTCTCTTCTACGCTGGCGTTTCATTTCACTGACCTGAAGATGTAAATTAAGGCGTAATATTAAACGTCTGACACACACTGAAATGTGATTAAAGAAGAAAGCCCACGATGGACAATTATATCAATTCTTAATCTTTCATGTACTAGTATACATGTCATATAATACTCATATATGTTCCTAATATACTTTAGTTTACACCATATTTTATTTGAAAATGACAAGCAGAAAATGCAGGCAAGTATACTTTAGTTTTGCTTTATGCATTTTAATCAGAAAAATTGGCTTTTGAATGCTCAACATAAACAAGAATTAAGAAGGTCAGTTTACCTCTTTTTGGTCAACAGTTGGATCCGCCTCAGCAACGTACAGGGAGTCGCTATCGCTAGAAGACCCCGAGTCGGAGCTTGTTCCGGGGGAATTAAAATCGGTGCTTAAATTTGAATCCTCGTTGTGTGCATTCAGGGCACCTGCAGCACGGTTAGCCATAGCAGCATCAATAACATTGCAGGTCTTCCCCTCTGTAAATTCCATGGGGGTCAGATCTTCTGGCTGACCACGACAACACCCTCCTGCTTGATTGTGACACAAAACTCGAACCATGGTGAATCTTTAATATTCCTTGCTCTTTACGACACAAAAATGCTAAATATTTAGTTGTATTTGCTACTTTTCTTTTAATGATGTCTGACGGCGATATTTGACTTTGCTTTTTGCGTTACCGGCGACTCTTCTTCTCAGCTGATCAGTGCGTGAATGCTGGGAATCACCTTGTGTCATAATATTTAAACTCATTCAGTCTTGCATCAGAAAATCGACCAATGAAAACTACGGCTTCCCATCGCGGCTAAAAATAATTTTCATTTAATACAATTATCAATGTAAAGAAAACTTATATTGAATTTGGGTTATATAATACTAGAAGAAGGAATTATTGATACTTTAATTTTGTGCTTTTAAGATTATTAATCAAGCCTTTTTTCAACTCATTCATTTGGCGCTAATCTGTCATTGCGTAAAATGTAAACACGATGTGCATTCCATACTTCCTTGAAGGTGAAGGTCGACTTATTTATATCAACCTAAGGTATTTTACAACGGTGACGAAACTTCTAACTTTGTTGCGTGTCTATAAATATTCTTTACGAATACGAGTTGATCCCCGATTGGTTGACTTACTTCAGAGAATATTCTGGACTGCAAAGATTTTCTCTGTTATGAAACTGAATGATGAAACTAGTGTTATAATGTATAAATTTACTATGTGCATTTTGAATATGAAAGTTTAATTTAATTTAAACAATTGCAGCTGTTTAAAACTTGCAGGTCTTGATACTTGTTCAAAATTATTATCATATCATCATATAAGCTAGATGAAAGCTAGAAATAAAAATAATATAGTGTCAAATGTATATGAAAAGTTTATTGTTGAATGAATTCCTTTAGCTAAATCAAAAAGACAGAGGTTTTTATCACGAAGCCTGTACTTCCAGTACACGTCTTGATCCAACGGTCTGATGAGGCAATGATTTCACATATTTCATAAGCGATCTTGGTTAACCTTCGTCGGCAGAAATTGTAAGTAAACAATATCAATACTTATTTGACCCAAAACCTTAAGCGCATGCATTTAATGTAGAACGTAAGCTACAAAATTTTTCTGATCTGCTTTTTAAATAAGGGAAGGGGTGCATGCAGGTTTAGGCCCAAAGAGGGTATAGTTCTACATACAATATCATAAATAGTACAACAGTTCACATATTTTAAGATTTTTGCACTAATTCTTTTTGTAATATAGCCAGTGGAATAAATTAATAAGATGTCACTTGCTGAAATAAATTCTCTAGCTTCCAAAATTACGACACAAAAATGTCGTACACGGGAATGATTTTTATCATGAGCTTACCTCCAGTAATTTCTTCTGAATTTCTGGAAACTGGATTGAATGTGAGGAATTTACAATGAGCCAACACTTTGAATATTTGCATCATTTTTCTGCCATGTCAATCTAAAACAAAACAAACGAACTGAGTACCTATTTCTTTTACGAAATTTTTTTTGAAAATTTCATTAAATTTATATTTTAAAACTGTAGAAGATTGTTTTTAATTTAATCTATCTTTATCATATGCTGGAGTTCTGTCCCTTTTGCTGTCGGCTTCCTTAAAAGTATAGTATATACATGTTGTAAATTCAACATGTACGTGCCACTCGTAGCATTGTAAGAATGGCGTGAGTGAATAAATTTAACTTGCTTTGTCAGATCTGATGTCTGATTACCAGTTATAACCATGGCCTATATATAGAAATCTTTCAATGCATTTTTTTCTGAATACACTATTCGTCATTCCTGGCTGGAATTAAATCATTTAGAAACGGCTATGGCTCACTCCTATAAAAAAATCTGGATTTTCCAGAGTGAATTAATTATTATGACGTAGTTTGTTAATCACATTGTCTGTTTTCATGGTTTCTCGATTCCGTGTATTGCATTGTACATTGTAAAGTTGTCATCGAATATGTCTTTTTTTTCTCTCATTTTGTACAAATGATTTTAATTTTGAATTCTAAAACTCGATTTCTTCTGAATAATATAAGAAATGAAAATTCTTCATTCTTATTAAATCTAAAAAGTTTGCTAATGCGTGATTTTTAAATATTAACCAGTACAGTTGTATTAAATGTATTTTCTCCATTATTTTATGATAAAGGATGGCAAATAGTAAATAAATATAGTAAATGAATTGCACATCGGCGGGGGAGGGGTGTGTCAGGGGTCTTCATTCCCTAGAAATGTTCATTGTTTTTTTTTTAATTAGTAGTAGTATCCTTGCATGGCCTCGTGCTTAAGTAGAAATGCTGTACATTCAAGTAAACATTGGACTTTCTTCTTGACATCGTTCTGGGTTTGATAACTTTTTAGTATGGGGAGAGTATTCTGTGTATTAAATATCATACGTAAAACGAAGAGGCCGGGGGGGGGGGGGTCCTACTTTTTGTGCCATGTCTTAAAAATTCTTTTTTCGTTTCATTCGTGTTTTGTTTTGTTCTGTCATTTTGTTGTTGTTTTTTTTATACGATCAAAAACATATTGATTGGGACATTAAAGGTCAGCTTCAAAGACACTGACTGAATTCGGGCACAGTTTTATGATACGCTCTCTCAGGCTATGGGGCGGTAGGGGGCAAGAAGATGTATGGGGAAAAAAACTACTCCAGGCACTAGGGTAGCCTTATTACTATTATACAATGTAACTAAAATAGCCGGAAGGAAAGTACCATTGGGATAATCACACTCGCCACATCTATGCTACAGATGGTCAAACGAATAGGCCTATATTAATTGTTTGTTTTGTTTGTTTGTTTCAGATGGTCAAAGGTAGAGGTACACTGCTGAAGGTTCTTCCTGGGATGTAAGTCTTACTATATAGTCAGGCTTCCCCCTTCAGAGCGAGGCTTACACCTTCAAAATTAGTTTCCGAACAGTTCTTTTTGGTCTTGCTTCACCATATAGCCAGTCTTCCTTGGGGTGGGGGGGGGGGGGGTTATCTTACTATACATATTTAGCCAGTCTTCCGCGGGAGATCATTGTATAGGGAAAATTTCACTATACAACGACAATGAAGCAATGCATACACAATGTGTGTGTGTTTGTTTAGGTCACCTGGGTGACCCAGGTGACCTATTGCTATCTGTTTTTGTCCGTCGAAGTGCGTCGTCCGTCGTTCGGCGTTATTATCTGAACATTTTCAGCTTCTTCTGTGGAATCACTGAAACAGTTTCAACCATTTATGGCATAAGGCATTTATGAGTAAAGGGAAACAAAAGGTATGAATTCCATGGTCCCTGTCCCCTTGGGACTTGAGGGGGAGACTTAAACCATCAAAATTAATGCAAACTTTAAAAATCTTCTTTACTCCTAGACATCAAGCAGTTGAAGTGTTGCCATAGTTGTAATAAGCATTGATCCCTCTACCAAAATTGTGAAATTCATGGACTCAGGGTTATAATGATCAAATAGTCAAAATGAATAAATTCTTCAAAAATATTCTTCTCTACCCCTGTTTATTTAGCAGATACACTAGGTAAGTGGTTATGATAAACAATGGTGCCTCTTTAAAACTTGAAAAAAATGTGGCCCCAGGGTCAGGGGTTCGGGGGGGGGGGGGGTCTATTGATTATATTGTGAAAATGTGTCATTTCTTTGAAAGTCTTCTCTCCTCTGAAAAATTGAGCAAACAAAAACTAGATATATCGTTATGATGAGCAAGGGTGACTCTTCCAAAATTATGAATTTTATTATCCCTGGGTAGGGGGTTCTGGTTTTAGTGCGGGGCTCTATTGATTGTATAGTGAAAATGCATTAATTCCTTGAAAATCTTCTTTGGTCCTGGGTATTTAGCAGATAAACTAAGCGCATGCTTACCATGAGCAAGGGTATCTCTTTCAAAATTGTGAAATTTGTGACCCCAGGGTTAGCGTTAATTTGCGGTCTCTATTAATTTGTATTCTTATGGGAGAAGTTATTACCCTGTTCTATTCATCTATGATAATAAATTACTGTAAATAATGTCAATGAAAGGTCAATTAAATAAGTGAATTTTTATAATATTTAATACAAAAGTACTTTCATTGTTTTAAAGGTCACATAGACTTGTTAATAATAGATAAATAAAAATGAGACAAAACTACTTTATCTTTGTTTGCATTAAATGTTCTTCAAGGACCAAGACCAAGAGAAGGCATTTTGAGGGGGAATGAGATGGTTTCAGAAACAGTGCTCAAGCACTATTTTTTTTTTTTTTTGTTTAGTTTTCATTGTGATAGAAGGTTATGTAGATAGATATACTTTAAGATTTGTTACTGAGTACTAAACAGTGACAAATGGTGGGGGGGGGGGGGGGGGAGTAGGGGAATAGATAAATATACTTTACATTTATTACTGAGTACTAAACTAATTATTTTCTTGATCTCTCATCATCCTCTTGCTTTTGGGCAGCATATAGTTTCATGTATTAGTTTATTTTTTAGTTATACTTCTATGGATCCTTTACAGTGTTGTACTAGTATTATACACAGGTGACTGTTAAGTGTTAAGGCCCTTGGGCCTCTTTTTTCTAAGGTCTCTTGGTCTTCTAATTTTTGAATACAAATGTTTGTTCGTTTTGTTGAACAAGGTACTGTCCAGAGTCCTGTCTTTCTCCAGGATTGTAGAGGATCGTACTTTCTGGCTTATGGTTTGAGACGATGTCTCAAAATGCACACAAAAATAACTCGAATATCGTTGGGGGAAAACAACATATTTTAAGAATACCGTTTTGCCTTTCCAACACATACTAAGTCTTTGCTACAAAGATACTAGGTTGTCAGAGGGAGAAACCTTTTGATATATAAGTACAGGTACATGTAATTAAAGGTCAGGGATCAAGACTTTCAGTCTTGTATTGACTTACTACAAAGATACCAGGTGGCAGATATAGTTCTAAACGCAAAATCAATTCAATATTTAAGCATGCAAGATGATGCTCCGCTTTGAAGAACATACATGTATATACATGTGAATGCTAAAATACCGGAAGATACACTATAATTTTACTCCCCCTCCAAAGGAGACCAAGTTACAAAATTAAAGTAGAAGAATGCATGTACATATATAGCTGATTGTTTTTCAAATATTGTTTTCAATTCCAGTCCTAACAAATATTTAATTGATATGTATTTCTAAATTTCAATGCATCTACTCAGAAATTGGAAGTTAAAAATTTCAATTCAAAAAGCGTGTCATTTATTTATTGTACTTCGTTTGCTGCTGAGTTACATGTAGTTCCTATAATAAAATATTGGGCTAGAGTTCCTCCCCGTTTTACAGACTGACGATTTCATAAAATAACAACAATGAACAACTGAAAATTTAATACACAACAACATAAATATTACATTCTATAAACAACGACAACAACAGAGAAAGGCTTGCATGCATTATAAACAGAAATGATTTTACATCACATGTTATCACATTCTTATCTATATTGTAATAAATCTGTGTTTATTTTACATAAAATACATTTCTCATTTTAAACCTGAAGTGGATACATTCTCAAATCCCTGATCTGTCATTATCAAATTAAATATGTAGAAATTGATTTTTCACAAAATATCGCATGAAACAAAATAAAGTTTTCATAAAATTTGCTGCCATTTATACTAGGAGCCATTTGATTGAAAATATTTCTGGTTTAATGTAAAGATTGGCAAGTGGACCACATGGAACAGCATCAGGATCAAGAGGCAATTTTAGATTTATGTCAGAAAAATTATTATAGACTGAAATATTATTGACTGAAATTTTGACTTAAGTCTAAGACTGCCTCATGATTCTGGGGCATGGTTTTGTCATTAATTTTATCCTGTTACACCATGTATAAAATATACAACAAATAACAGACTTCTATTAATACTAACTAAATATCAGATCTTTATTTTAACTAATAAAACTTAGTTTTTGTTGTTTTTTGTCACTTCTTGGACGGAAAACGAACCAAGTCGTCATATACTAGTTTGCACCATTTAAAGTATATGGATTGTTGACCTTGCCTAGACAGGAACTAGAATTCAAGTCTCTCGAAGAATCAAAATCTTGTGATTCCCTTCACGTGTCTCTAGGAAAACGGTGGGATCAATTCGCAGAGAAACCGCTTTTTTCACTTGGATGCAGTTTCTTGTATGAAACTTCTCTGAACTTTTAAACGAATGCTTAGTTTGTCTACAAGTTCTTTGGGAACAGCTCATACGCATGTTATGCCAGTGAGGGTTAGTTTATGACGTCACGACCCTATTTTGGCCATCTTGGGACAAACCTGGCTGTGAATTTTAAGGAGGTCCAGCAGGTGCTCGCGTTCCTCCCGCAGCCTCTGGACCTGGTCCTGTAATTTCTCCTGTTTTTCTTCCAGTCGTAATGTTTCCTGTAAATCAAAAAATTAATCTATGTTAACATTGAGAATTTAACATTTAGATTTGCTTCATTTGTTGCTGGTTTGATTCTTTTGATTTCAAATGTAGTGATGGACAATTTTGAAATGCTTCTCTTTTATCCCTCCTTTCATCCCCATTTTTTCCCCTTCTTCCTTCCCTCTGTTCCCCTCTCTCCTTCCCTACCTAGCTCCCTTCCCCTTTTCTTCCATCTCCACCCCTTTAATCCTATTACGTTCGTAGGTGTACACAGAAAAATAATCACATCAAAAATGATTTCAATGTTGACACTTCTCAATTTTCAAATCAATATCTCTTCTGAGAAATAGATACCTCTTCGAGCGTGTCAGCTAGTTTTCTCTTCTTGTTCCGGCATTTCTGAGCAGCCAGTTTATTTTTCTCTCTCTTTATTTTTCTACGTTCTTCTTCCTCGGGAGTTAACTGCAAGAATCAAACAAGTGTCGAGTGTTAATTCGCGACTGACTAATTGTATCAATCGATAATTACTACCCGGTATTGTAAACTCAATAACATTACATACCCGTTCAGGAGATGGCTCTTTGAACTCTACCCGGATTTCTTCCTTCCCTTCTGCAATCCTTCTTGCTTTTATCTTATGTTTGATTCCTTCCTTCAGTAGAGGACTAAGATCGATGTCCAGGTCTGCCTCCGAGACCTCCTCCGCAAAGAAGTTCTGAGAGGGGTCAAGGTCATCAAAGGGGAACTGGGTTGCGACATTTTCCTCCAAGTGATGGAAGCCATCAGAAATGCAATCATGATATGAGGTAGAACTTTGGCTGTTTTCTATAACCACTTCTGCTACAGAATCTGAAAATTAAAAGAATTCTGGTCTCTGTATCAATTTACATGTGGTGTAAAATTTAAACTGTATATGTTGTGTTAAATTACATTCGTAGTTTGATATGGCTAACTGTTAACAGGGTATTTATATACTGAGGTTGTGTCTACTTTCATGTCTCATATGATTTAGTACATAAAGAAACCAATGCCGATTTATTGATCAATGCCTCACCTTGTATCACTGGAGGAGTGACCTGCTCGCTAACCTCCACCACCGCCGAGACATTGTCATTCAGAAAATCCACCTCAGCATAGAGGGTGTTGTCTAGAACAGCATCCTGTTGAATGTCCGTCTGGGTGCAGGGTGGGACTATATCATCCATTATGACTCGAGGTCGGGTAAACGCCTGGCCTTCTTCAGATAGAAAATGTCCTATGTCCACACCGCTTTCTAGAAACAAGTCCAGGATGTCTACTTTGTCCTGCTTAACCATGTCTTCTGCAAAATTAAATGATTAAAAATAAAATAATGAATTATTGATAATTATAAATTAAATTCAGTATATTAAACATTATAATTTCGTGGTAGGTGAGGTCTATTATGCATTTTTCTTGCCCGGGGGGGGGGGGGCATGGTTAAAGTGCATCGAAATCATTTGCTTAAATCTGGAATTTTAATAAAATTTTAACTGGATTTGTAATTTCCACCGACAGTTTGCAGTAAGACGCTTGCCTGCTGAGATACCCACAACCAGTAATCTATTTACAAAGGCGTTTGTTTACAAATAATGTATTGTTTATTTACATTTAACTCATTTGATTTATACAGATAAATCATTTTCATTTGTTTTAAGGAAAGAAACGAATCTTACCACTACCATCGACAAAAATTCCAAGTAAGCACAGAATACGCTATCCCGTGAATGCACTGTCATGAAACTATTTCGCGAAGATTGTGAAATACTTTGTTATTTAGCCTTCGTATGCTCAACGTCCTGTATATTCGGTCATGGAAATAATATCAACACAACAATCGGCGTGGTTTAAATACCGGCTCGTGTTTTTCTATTTATAGACAGTCATATGACGGTAGTACGTCATCATAAGCCCTAATTAGAATATGTATATAAACTGCCGGTTTACGGTGTGTTCTTTAAGGGGGGGGTCTGTATATCCTAGTGGTGAATAATTTCAATATTTCACTCAGGATTATGACGTCATGAAGTTAGTAAAAAGAAAAAAGACACTGATTATCATTTTAATTTTACTCGAGCAGATCGAAAAACAGATCGATAGACGAAAGGAAGTCGGACATATCCACGTGTGCTTTGTATACACTTGGATCGCGCCACGCTGGAACGAATGACTAAGACTCACAAGGCGAGAGCCTTACTCACGCTGTTTGATTATATTACACGCCGGCCGGTGTTGTATGGCCAATATCCAGGACTTTGGTCCACTTAAAACCTTAATTCTATTTATAAAAATAAGAACTAATGGAAAAATGTGAGCAAAATATTTTATTACTTTCAAAGATATCTGAAACGTTAAAAATATATATATTATGATATACATCTGTATATATAATACTTTAATTTTGAATTTGGAAAAGAATGGATTTTTTTAAATAATTTTTTCTTTGCTTATCAAGAATACTCTTACCCACAAACACACACGTTCTATTTTTTTCATGCAGTACACATCGATATTGATATGAAGATAAAATATATAGGAATCATTTGCGATGCAATTTTTATAAACTGATTAATCTAGATAAAAAAAAAAACTTATAAATTTGATGCATTATAAATTTAATTGTGTTGTCGACAGAATGGTCAAATATCCATTACTACTGTATATAATTTGAGCCAACATTACAAATTGTTTATCAGTGTTTATCATTTTATGTTTTTTTTTAAAAATATAATATCAATTGTATTCAGCGAAAATTTATCAATGGATACCGTTGTCGGTCAAATAAAGTACAGTCTAACAGAGCGTAAAATACCTCACCCTTCAGCCAATCAAAATCGAGCCATGCTTAACGTTTGATAATAATAGATTTCTGGTTTTTCCATATATTTGACATAGATTTGCATTCAGATAAGGAGAGGCCCCCGAAAGGATGATCGAGACACGTCACAAAAAACAATGAATCAGCAGGGACATATGCGTAGACGGACCAGAGACAGGGTGTGAACAAAACAGTTATAATAGTATCCTTTAACTATGCCCATATCTCTCCGTGAAATATATATATATATATATATATATATATATATATATATATATATATATATATATATATATATATATATATATATATATATACATTGAAGAGTCATATGTCTATTTTATGTATATGTTTATATAGGTGCATGTATGTCTAAATGATTTTTTTTCTTTCTCTCTTTTTCTTTCAACTATATTTTAGGCCTTTCTCTTGTAAGTTTGTTCTCTTTATGCTCATTTGGCACTGAATTAGTAATAAAACATATCTTAACTTATCATATATATATAAGGGAGAGAGATTTATGCCCATATATAAAGTTCAGAATTTGGTCGGAGAATTCTCATCTTCCATCTTCGATTTTTATCTTTACTTTCATACAGTAATATATGCAATACTGTATTCTGTTATAGCAGGGACGCATATATATATATATATATATATATATATATATATATATATATATATATATATATATATATATATATATATATATATATACGATAAAAGCTGATTTCTCTCACTTTTCCCATCCAAGTCGATTTTTGGTTAAAACTTGCTTGTCATAAAACCTCATCATGTACACATGTAATTCCATGTATGAATAAATCAAATCTTATAAGAAATGTCATCAGAAATATTCCCCAAAGATTTTTTTAATTGTCGATTTTTTTTCTTCACATTTTCATTCAACAAAATCTCCATGAATTTGAAAATCCGTCTTTAATCGAGCAGAAGGGACGGGGTTGCGATGTGTCAGAAAGAATGAGCTTAAAGCCCCGGGTAATTTCACGGTGGGACGTCAAAAACTAAACACGGTTGCCTTAACGTGTTTCAATATACAAGAGATGTCAGTTATCGTCAAACTAGGTAGGATGATTGCATCTCAAACATTATATGTATATAAACATTATATTTATCACAGGCCAAAAACAGAAGCTTGCAGCTACTCAGAGCAAGTTATAACAAAATGGTCGAAACTCTACTCCAGGGGATATTTTTAAATCTGTGCACCTTTTTAATTTTATTTACCATTCATTGTGTCCAGTTCTATAATGTATGGTTATAATATCGGCCATGTTATATGGCATGTGCTTGATTTTCTATATTGTGTGTTTATACATGGAAATGTTTATCTATTTTAGATATTGATTATTCATATGCTAATATATGATTGAAGCTAAACCACAATGAAAACTAGCTGTATGTTTATTGTGTAATCCTGGATAAATAAAGGTTATTATTACATGTATTATTAAATATCTGCCAGCTCAGTCCAGCTTCACCATTCTTATTGATGGTCGAATTAAAAGCAGATTAATATTCAAACCACATTATGAATGTCTAGATAATGCTTGCAACAAGTTTGTTTATTTGCGAAACACACACTCGAGCATACAAATTGTCGTTTAGCAAAGAAAGCATCAATCGATTTCAAGACAATGACATTCAAACAGTATGTGATATGCTCTGTAATACGACATAAATTCATCCCAGTACTTTGTTATATGTTGCAAATGAACTTAAAATACTTATAGTGTGGTACGCTCTATCGAGTATGCATTTCTATTCACAAAAATGCATTGTTCTTCTTGCAGAAATAATATGCGATCAGTACAATAGCTTTAGTATTACAGTCTTGTCAATAAAAAAGAATTCACTCCAAAATTCTCATGTTCTGGGTATGATTTAAATTCGAATGGTTATGTTCTTATAGTTAGACTAAAGTAAACACTTACCAATGATACGATTACTGTATGCAAATGTAAGCAGTCCAAACATTTTTGATGAAATGATACTAAATAGCAGAGAAACCGAATTTTGTAAGTTTACATATTTTATTTCTATTTCGTCGTTTCCTTATATGGCATGAAGAAAAACGGTCAAGTCAGATTATGGAACATGGTGTTGATAAACATTGTTTTCTATCCGTACCAATATACTTTAATATTATCCTTCAATAGACTTGAATACTGTTTAACCATATAGGGCTTTAGAGAAATTCCAAATAAGGGTAACAGAGGAAAGAGAGACCATATCTGTTATACCACGTGGTACAAACGATTTGCTGAATCGAGCATTAAATGACCTTGACATTATTACTCGAAGTGGAACGGACAGGTAAATGGCGCTAAATGCCATAACATTGCTTGATTAATTTTAGACGCTTGAAAAACTGATTTACCCCCCCCCCCCCCAAAAAAAAAACACTGCTGTTTCTAAACAGAATATAATTGATAAACCATATTTGTAAGGATGTTGAAATAAAATAATATAGAAATCTAAATCGAATCAATGACCAAAACGCTCAAAATGCGAACATAAATGTTCCACATACAGGTATACAATGCTAAAAATGACATAAATAATACATTATTTTATATCAAATGGTTATACCTTTATTTTTTCTTCTTCAAAGGATCGATATCTTATCTTAAAGCGAAAGACAAGGCAAACATATTATGTATACGATCAGTGTAGAAGCGCCCTACTGGAAGTACGTGCTTACTCTTGTTCGACCAGAATGAACTTAGAAATGTTGGAAAAACCCAAGAAAATAAGTTGCGTGCGAATTCCTAATCACATGATCCATTAAGTATGCGCACACCTTTATTGACTAAAAGAACGCACAAAATGCAAGCTTTAAAAAACACGTAGAGGGCCCCACACCAGGCGTCTGTGCAATAACCTTGACTTTAGAAGATCGATATTAACAAATAGAATCAGGAACAGTAATTCATAGAATGTTATCTATTTGATTCATGAATTCAGTAATTGTTCAGATTTACAAGAAGTTCATTCCACAAGTTTTGATGGTAAAAACTTTTATAGCCATGATAATTGCAAAATACAAATTCAACACAAATCCCTTCATTGACGGTTAAATCAATTGTCTGTTCAATTGAATGAATTTAATCTCACAGAAGATAAAAACGCTCCGAGACAGCTGATCTATGTGCCAGTCGCGGATCAGCTGATAAACTCTTTTGATCATCATGGTGCTCTATTTTGTTGAAAAAAGTTACGTAATAAAGTTAGACTCATTATAGTAGTAAAACCTGGTATTTCTTCCTCGTAACATAGAAGTGAATTTTACTAGATTTTACAAATAGCCGAGAAATACAGAGAAAATCAAATTTTTCTGTCAGTATTTTCTCTATTTGAAATACAATACTCATATATAGAGATACATAGCTAAACATCTGCCTATAAGTGTGTACATTAACTGTATTAATTAATTAATTAAGTTTTTCAAAGTAGTTGTGACTGCGTTGAAAATTCTGTGGAAGAGACATTTACCTAAGTGTTTATACAATGTTCATGTAGGAAACTCAATACTGATTAAGGACAGATGATACAAAAAACGGATGCCTGGATTGGTATATATTTTTGGGCATATTTTTGTTACAAATGATGCAAATAATAAATTTTTAAAATATTAAGACATTTTAAACTTTCTATGATGTTCAAAATTCTACCTTTCGGCAACCATCCTTATTAATCTATTCAAATTTTTGTCACTTTAAATCCCATTATTATGCAATTTTGAATGAAAAATAAAAAACTAAACGGTTAAACTTGTTCATTTTACTTATATAAACATGACTCAAATTGATATTTTCAAAAGTTTTGATAAAAGTTTGTTTGTATCATCTCTCCTTAAATTAAACTTTAAAATCATTGATATACTTATTCATTTAGGTATGTATGCTTGATGAATGCTTAATGAAGTCATATATTTTTTAAATAGATGTCTTTATATGTTAGAATCTGTGTCAAAATGGAAATAAAAATTGAATCAGTGTTTGTACACGTTATAAACTTAAAGTTGTGACTCTTAAATAGAATGAGTTGAATATGAAAACATGACCATGGCAGTGGAGATGTATTTACATTTCTTTGATTTTGAAGGAACAATCATTAATC